CAGTTTTCGTTCCCATACTCCTCCGGAACCGCGTTGACCGATTCTCATGAATTGTGAGCGTATTGAGTAGGTCTGAGAATCGGCCAAAATCTGTTTTTCATCCCCCTAAATGTTAGGGGTAGTCCACTCTTCATTTTTTTTTTATTTTAACGCTAAACAACGTTTGCCGGGACAGCTAGTGATTAATATTATTGTCTACCCACCCAACGCACCGCTCCGCGGGCTGCGGCCGATGGCGGACACCGGCACTTCTTGTCCGACCGGCACCGACACTTACCGGCTTACTAAATCATCCCACCATTCTAAGTTTAATCTGTATTTCATAACATCTTTTATATTATATCTATTATCACAGACCACTAGTTTTATTGGCTATCCAGGACTAAACAATTATCATTATTACAATACGGTGAATGTGGAACATTCCTGACACCTAAAGCTTATCGTTATGTATCTACATTTGTCCTTAGACACTTCATAAATTAAGTTCCTTCCGCTATTAAATCAATTGCTAGGAAATAAGAAAAAAATCCATTAAAACTGTCTGTCAAGATTTAAGTTTTTTGACAAATTGCCATGTCTTTACATAGTATAAAACAAAGTCGCCACTGCTGTCTGTTAGCTTATATTATGTAATATAATCTTATCTGTTCTTATATCTTTTAAATTACACAACCGATTTAAATGCAATTTTCAAAAACAAAGTGATTCAAAAACTCAGCTCAGCTTTATTAGTAAACTCTGTTCCGATTTAAAGGTTAATATGATCAGAGGAATGATATCTTATTTTTCCAATGGAAATGCATGACCATGTGATGTCGCGTGATAATGTGATGACCTGAAATTCGCTACGCAACGTTTTATAATTTTATTGAATTTCTCCTACATTTTATACCGCGTATTTTCGCTATTGTCAATTTTAAATAAACATAGCCTTCATCAAGAACCAACCAAGTTTTATTAATATACAGAAAATATTAATAATTACAATTTCTTTTTCTTAGCCCATTTTAATATTGATTTCTATAATTACCCGAGTTGAATCTTTCATGCAAACTGAATGTTGAATGTTTTGGAAAAATCGACCCAATGTTGATGGAAGCCATTGTTTCCAGTGTAACGCACTTTAGCAGAACTAAAGGCTATTTCCTGATGCACAATTATTATTTCAGGTTCAAATAAGTAATTTTTGTTATAACATAGAGGGCAAACTTACTTGCGACAAAGCGCTGGTATTCTGAAGTGGACCAATTCGTGTTGCACAACCACGCGTGGTCATTGTTCGGTGAAGCTGTAAAGTCTTCAGCTAACAGCATTAATAGTTCGAAAAATCTCAACCACTTATAAAATTTATTCAGTTCAATTCTTCCATTCTCAGTCAACTTACATATAAACTGGCTGTACCCTATCTTTTTATTGGCGATTATTTTTTCACTGTACAAGAATATAGGTCAGTTATAAATGTTGACATTTTTCCCAAGGATTCCATACGTTATCCTTTGGAATATCGTCAGGTTCGGCATTGTTATCATCGGCATCTAAATAGCAGATATCAAACAATGCGGCCATATATAAATTACTAGCTATGCCCGTGGTTTTACCTGCTTCAAATTTATAGGCAATGTGTTATTCTGATGTATATATATTACTGTTACATCAAAATCTGTTCAATAGTTTTTGCATGAAAGAGTAACAAACATCCATCCATCCATCCATACATACAAACTTTCGCGTTTATAATATTAGTAAAATGGTAAACATAATTTATCGTATTTTAATGTATATGTATTTATAATATATATTTATATTATATGTATAGTACTTTTAAATTGCATGAGCGTGTATTTATTTGTGCAAAACTAAAAACTTAGCAAATATTATTGTATCAGAATTTATAGCACACTTATAAGGCAAATAAACCTATGTGTACACCTGGTGGTACATTACTGTCACCATCAATAAACACTAGTGGAATTGCAGTTGAAAACAATATATGTATGCCAAATAAACCTATATGGCAAATGAATGTACGGGTACACTTGGTAAGTTACTGTCACCATTAATAAATATCAGAGGAATTGCTTTTTTTAACATTCAATATCGGCCTCAAATACACTGTGTACTAGCCTTAAGAATTCACTACACAATTTCAGAATTGACCTTTCGCTATTTCATTTCACATCATACTCGAGTGAAAAGAAATCATATTATAACCATGTTACATATAATCCAACTTATACATAAATATTAATAATTAAAAATTATAAATTTAATTAAATAATACTCATAATAATTATTAATATGCAATTATATTGTGTAGATATGCTTATTTATGGAATTTTTATGTTATTTTTTAATTGTGTGATGGTTTTAAGTGTTAAATCTAAACTCGATTGTGGATATAAGGTGAGAGGTTAAAAATTATTATAGGTTTAAGATATAAAGGTTAAATATTTTAAAGGGTAATATGATCGGGGGAATGAATTCTTGTATTAGAGATTATATTATTTTTGTTCTATTTACATATATTTTGTTGCATTTTGTTTACGTTTATTGTTCTCGCGTATGTCTCTGGGCAGTGCCTGAATATCATATGCTGCAAACAATACACTGAGGTGCTGCCTTTTTACATATGGGCTATGCACACACACTACGTTACTCATACCGTTTTTTGTTATCTGTATTGCATTTTATTTTACAGATAAAATATTTGTTATGTATTGTATTTTGTTTGACTTGACTAATGTAATGTGTATATCTGTTTTTATTTTTGTTCTTATTATTACAGTGCCTTGTGTTTATGTACCTTTAACGTGAATAAAATTTTTATCTATCTATCTATCTATGTATCTATCTTTATCATATTTGCACCTCCAACAATTATTCTCTACACCACCTATGGTTGCCTGGTAGAAAATGCCGCATGGTGTTAAGTCCGCCAAATGTACTGTACTATACATTGTATTGTGTGTATTAAAATTAAATAAATAAAAAAATATAAGAGGTCATTCCCCCGGCCATTCCCCAAGTAATTTAATATATATAAATAAATAGATAGTCTACCTGTTAATTTATATCTTTTAAATTACACAACGGATTTTAATGCGGTTTTCAGCAATAGACAGATTTGTACCTACACTTGTAATATTTCTGCCAACACTCGAGACCCTTCCATTAGACCTCTCCAGGTAACATAGGCTTAAGTTGAGAATAAATAAACCAAACAAATAAACACTTCCAAATCATTTCACATACTCTGCTGAAGCGAGCGTAACCGCAAACGCAGAAGCTAAAAGTTACAAAAATATGCTCAATCAAAAAAAGGGTTAAGTTGAGTTTAAAGTCATTTCACGTCCCGACTCCGTGTCGGATGTACGCGTTACTAATAAGCATGTAACACACTACCAAATCACAGATAATATAATATTACATACCAAATAAACTTACTAATCTAAATATATATAACTCAAAAGTGACTGACGTAGTGATCTATCAACGCACAGCCCAAACCACTGGACGGATCGGGCTGAAATTTGGCATGCAGGTAGATGTTATGACGTAGGCATCCGCTAAGAAAGGATTTTGATTAATTTTACCCCCAAGGGGATAAAATAGAGGATGAAAGTTTGTATGAAACTTTGTCAATTTTAAACCGATCGGGCTGAGACTTTGCATGCATAAAGCTACTATGACGTAAGCATGCCCTAAGAAAGGACTTATAAATTCTACCCCTAAGGGGATAAAATTACGGGAGCGAAGCCGCGGGCAAAAGCTAGTGTACAATTATTACACGGGTATTACTAATTTTTATTTTGGGTGTATATTTACTCACTACCTACATATGATTTTTTTTATTATAATTGCACCTACTTCCTTTTATTATTTATTTCATGTTATTATTTACTTAAATGCGCCGCCCACTAATCTCTGTTTGCCCTATGGTCGACTGGGAGAAAATGCCTTATGGTGTTAAGTCCGCCATATGCACTTGTATTTTTTTGTATTTGTGCATTAAGTTTTTATAAATAAATAAAAATGACAATAAACAATATATTATGTAGTTATAACTTATCACATCATATGTACGTGCATATCGCTACAGTGGTGGGTGATAACCACGCGCTACAGTTTGATTCAAGGCGAAGGTTTATATATACAGAACAAGCCGAGGAAATCAAAGATTTGTGATAAATTCATGCGAAGTCGGGACGGTTCGTAGTATAAAATCTATGCATGTAAATAAAATTTCAGTGTCTGTTTGTAATATAGAAATAACCGTTTTTTACTACATGCATACGAATATAAATACGGTACGTACACTAAAATATTTTTTTTTACAATTTTGTCTGTCTGTTCGTCTGTTTGTTCCGGCTAATCTCTGAAATGGCTGGACCTATTTTGACGGGCATTTTTTTGACAGGTAGCTGATGTAATAAGGAGTAACTTAGGCTACTTTTATTTTAGAAAAATAAAGATAAAGTCGCGAGTACAGCTAGTATAAAATAAAATAGCAAATTCAATGATTAGAAGTTAGGGAGTAGTTGTTTATGTAATATAAACACACTCAGAGGGCAATGGAGAGGGCTATGTTAGGAGTTAATCTGCGTGATCGAATCAGAAATGAGGATATCTGCAGAAGAACCAGAATGACCGACATAGCCCGAAGAATTGCGACTCTGAAGTGGCAATGGGCAGGGCACATATCTCGTAGGACAGATGGCCGTTGGGCAGTAAAGTCCTCGACTGGCGACCGCGGACCGGAAGACGCAGCGTGGGAATGCTTCCAGCAAGGTGGACCGACGATCTGGTCAAGATCGCTGGAAGGCATTGGATGCGAGCAGCGCAGGACCGATCGTCGTGGATATCTTTGGGGGAGGCCTATGTCCAGCAGTGAACGTCTTCCGGGCTGCGATGATGATGATGATGATGATGATATAAACACACTATAAACATGTTTACAGCAATGTCCTCAGACCCGAGATGGCGCTCTAAATGTTCATCTCATTCCTCACTCCCACATGGATGCTGGGTGGGTGAAGACCTTCGATGAATACTACTATGGCAGTTAGTAATGTGTTTACGCTCACTTATGTTAGCTTCAATACATAAAGAACACTCAGTTGACTAATTTATTACTTACATTTCAAATTTAAAACCATTGCGAGGCATGTGATGTTGGTGGCGTCACGATTATTCCGCCACCAATAGGAATAGAGATAAAGAGGCCGGGAACAAGGAGAGAGCGGGCTGCTCTCTCCTTGTTCGAGGTGACTGAGACGACCAGACGTGAATGTACAGCGACGCAATTTATGTGGAGTGTAATTTGAAAAAGGAATAAAATAAAAGTACTGCTGCATCGACATATCATTTCTGAAACTTCCCGATACTTACGATTCTTGAGAATATAATGTCTACGCCCTCGATGGTCTAGTGGTTTAACACCGCTTTACTTCTAAGGCCGCGGGTTCGATTCGATTCGATTATATATTACTTAAAATATAATTTATAATCCAGTGATTTGTATAATATTATTTCGAGATATATCATTTAAGAACGTAACGATCGAAGTCGATATTTTATGTAGTATCAAAAAATATACTATTAATAACCTCTGGACAATTCACACAGCGCCATCTAGTCCCAAGCTAATCAACGTTTTCTTATGGGTCCTAGACAACTGATATAAATACCTACTTAAATATGTTTTTTTTGTACTGTATACATAATTTACATAGAAATCCTAGACCAATATAAACAATCATACTCATGAATACAAATGTTAGTTTGTAAATACTATGCGAGGAATCGAACCCGCGACCCTCGGATGATAAGCGATTTGCTAAGCCGCTAGACCACTAATTTCTGTAATATATATGTAATAATAGTACGTAATTGAAATTATTATTAACTATACCGATTTTTCACAGCTAAAACATCGATCAGTTCAGCAAATGTCCAGCTGATTTACCACTCTGTACTGTCTGAATTATTGCACGACAAACGACGGAAGTAAGCACCTTAATATTAAAATATAAAATAATATTAAAATAAAATATTGACAATTAATTAAATATAGATATAATGTTTAGACTTTATAATGCTTGGATTACAGAATTTATACGCTGGAAACAGCAGAACATGATGAAACATATATAATATATAATTACTACAATTGCACGTGCCAAATTCTGACAAATAAATATATTATTATTATTATAAAAAAATAATAAACTTTACAAATGCATATTTCACAAAAACAAGAGACTTAACGTCCAACGAGTATTAATACGAAACTGATAGTATTAGCATGCTTATTAATAAATATTAAGCATGCTAATACATCAAATGACATATATAATATAATCAGGATTTATTCAAAATTCAAAAATCATTTATTCATAATAGGAAATTTTAGCAGCTTATTAATGTCAAATATATATTGCTGCTATAGCTTACTATGACACTTGCAATATTTAAAATGCAATCCATCTGCAAAGGTAAACAAGCTGTGATGGATTTGACGATTTCTAGGTTCCGGGACAGCGGGTGTCCCGGATACATAGGATAGGTGAATTTATATATCTATAAATAACACTTTCCGATTTATATCTACTAATTATACATATTCTATTATATAAAGAAATAAAATATTTAGTAAATCAAGAAAGAAAATATAATGTCACTTTTACAATAATATTAGGAACGAACTATCAAAATTTATAATCTATAACTATTTAAATATAAAAAGTTAAACGAAAGAGGTTTCACAACACAAGCTATAAGGCCTGCTTAACAATACTAACAATCGCCTATGAACAAGACAGAAGACGACGGCCAATACAAAATGAATTTGTGATGAGTAAATTGTATAAAGTAAGATTCCAACCCAGCCTATCCATCCATCCATCATCCATCCATCCATCCCGACATCTCCAAGGTCATACCAACATCACTATCTCATATACTGACTGAACCTTGGGAGACGCATCTTTTTTAACTCCCTACAAATTATTTTTTTACGTTCTCCCTTATACACTCTCTCCGTTTTGGGGCAGTGGACACCGCAGCAACTGTATCAACAATGATAAGTAAGATTCAGATGAATCTCTTATTCATCTCCTCTCCATTCTGGGGTAGTAGACACCACAGCTACAGGAACTCCGCTGTCAGCACTGTAAGATTCAGATGAATCTTAAAGGAGAAGGGTTTTTTTATTTAATTAGTAATATGGATTAATAAATTAACACCATTGTTAGTAATGGACCATGTCAGATTAACTTAAATGTGGTTCCCTCTGGAAACCATATTAAATTTCTATTGAATTGGCCACGATGGACTAACTAACCTGACCTTATCTTCACCTTATCATCCTCCACTGGTGCTCCGCCAGCGTATACCGTTAGCGGAGGCCGGTGCGCCATTCCATTATCATCTATTATAAAATAAATATTAATAAGTTTCTTTTTCCAAGGTTCACCTTCTCAGAGACGTCGTATTTCTGGCGATGGTGGAAGGAACAACGGCCAATCACAAGAGCCACCTTCAGGACCCTGGTACAGGAAGGTAGGATTGAGTTTGCTGGAGGTGGATGGGTTCATAATGATGAAGCAACTGTAGATTATCTTCAAATTATTGACCAATACACTTGGGGATTAAGGTAAGGATCACAAAAAGTATAATACGTGTAATATATAGATACCTGTTTAAAATATAACAATAATAATAACTCAGGACAATTCAAATCGAGCGGTATTAAATATTATTTATTATTGATTTATCTAAATTGATACATATAAATAAAATTGGAGCGTCTGTTTGTAATATTGAAATAACCGTGTTTTCCTACATGCATATGAATATAAATACGGTACATACACCAAAATAACATTTTTAAACACTATTTATATGTCTGTCTGTCTGTCTGTTCCAGCTAATCTCTGAAATGGCTGAACCGATATTGATGGGACTTTTATTGGCAGGCAGCTGATGTAATAAGGAGTAACTTAGGCTACATTTATTTTAGAAAAATAAAGTTAAATTACATGCGGACGAAGTCGCGGGAATAGCTAGTATATAATATGTCATATATTTATAATAAATTCAAATAGAATTCAAATCCAAAATCAAAATCATTTATTTATGTAGAATATTTTAGCCGCTTATGAACGTCAAATTTTTACATTATAATTTTAATTTTTTCTCTACCTAAAAAAAATATTAATACTATATTCGTTTTATACGTATAATTAGTAAAAATCACGGGATTTTACCACGTTTTATATTTATTTGCTGAGTTCCCGATATTTCGGCAGTGTTTCAACCACCATGATCACGGGTAAACTCAGCAAATAAATATAAAACGTGGTAACATCCCGTGATTTTTACTCATTATACGTATAAATAATGACCGCGTCAAGTTTAAAACAGTATATTCGTTTTATTTTAATAAACGTATATAGAATATACATACGCTATTTGAATTGTAAATATGATTATTTCTAGGAAACTAAACGATACCTTAGGAATTTGTGGCAAACCAAAAGCAGCTTGGCAAATTGACGCATATGGACACACAAGAGAGCAGGCCTCGCTGTCAGCTCAGATGGGCTACGACGGATTATTTATAGGTAATTATTTCTTCCAGAAACCCATAATATAAAAGGATGATTCTCTCTCTCTCTGCCTAGCTTCTTGCCATTTCTTTTAGGGACGGCCCTACTAAATCTTTTTTTTTTATACAACTATGGTGGCAAACAGGGATACGGCCCATCTCATGAAACACCTGATGGTAAACTCGGTTACAGTAGCCGGGATCCCGGAATGGATCCCGTCTAAATTTAAAAAATGTTGAATTCAGATGACTGTAAAAGCTAATAACTGCTTGTTTGTGATAGTGAGGTTAACTAAAACAACATATTACTCGAAAGAAAATAAAAACCTTTATTCTTTAATCTTCTAAATAATAATCAGTTTGTGCGTAGGTAAATTAGGTAATCAAAACATATTTAGAGAGGATGAAAATTCTCTCTCTCTGCCTAAATCTTAATAACTTATCTACTTAAAAAGTCTTATCATTTCTTTTTGGTTCATCTCTACTAGTCATTATATTCTCTCTTAAATATGATGAAAATTATCTATTAACACAGAAAACTTGACTTACTGAAGTGATTATGTCCAACTTGAGTAAAAGATTTTTTGAATTTGATTTTGTATTCAAAATAATCAGATTTTTTTTAAATAGGACGTGTGGACCACCGAGAAAGAGAAGAATTTATATTATACTTCAAAATAATCAGGTATTTTTTAAATAGGACGAGTGGACCACAGAGAAAGAGAAGCAATGATAGACGAGGACAGACTAGAGTTTATGTGGAGAGGAAGTGACGTGCTTGGTAAATTTATTTCATACATACACCAGATTTGACATGTCCAATAATTTCTTCAGTACATTGAACAAACTCTATTTATTTCAGGTAAAATGTCTGACATCATGACACACACATTATACAACTTGTACAACGCACCAGAAGGCTTTTGTTTCGACTTCTTATGCAATGATGAACCAATCGTTGATGATCCCGACAGCAAAGTTTACAACGCCGATAAACGGGTAACTGTACTATACTCTCATCATCATCACCTTGCCTTCATCAAATTATTTATTATTTTATATATTTCAGGCAACTAGGCCTATATTATAAATAGCTTATAGACTAACATAAATATGAATTAATATTATAAAACTAACATATAGAAATTGTCTGTGTGGTCACGGCACTATCGACGGCAATCTGCCACGGCAGCGCCGATACACCACACCTTATAATACTTTTTTTTAAATACTACAAGTACAGTAGTATCTCAAGCACTGCTTAGTTTGGAACTAGATGGCGTTGTGTGAATTGTCAGGGTTATTATTATAGATACTAACGTTATCTTCCCGTTAATTGATATTTGAGCGACTATATTAACAAACTCTTCCATAATTATCAGTGGTGAAGCTGCGTGTGATGATGATGAAGCCACTACATTCCAGACCTACAGAGTTCACAAAATTCAACCATAAAAGAAAAAAGGGCCTCGATTATTTTATTTTGTTATCCTTTATTGTGTACATAGGTACATGTTATGCTCTTTGTATTTCTTTTGACAAAATTGCAATAGCATATACTGGCGGTCTGTCTATTCTCCCTAATTTGCAATTTAAAAATAAATCTGTACTTTTGCAAATATGTACATTTATAAAAGAACTAGCTTTGCCCTCGGTTTCACCCGTGTTACATTTCAATATATAAACTTTAATATAAAATATAGCCTATGTGTTACACTGCATAAGCTATATTATTGTAACGTTTCATCAAAATCCGTTCAGTAGTTTTTGCGTGAAAGAGTAACAAACTTCCATATTTACAAACTGTCGCGTATAAAAATAAGAGCTGAGTTTCTTTTCAGTTTTTCTTAGCTAGAATGCTCTCCGAACTGTGATGGTAGACTGTAGGTCTAAATAAAGATATTTTCATTTTTATTTTTATCTATAATATATAATAATAAAATATTTTTTTCATGTATACTTACTTGTATGTACCATATATTATACTTTTCTGGCAGGTGAATGATTTCATAAGCCATATAGAGAGGCAGGCGAAATACTACGAGCACGATAACATTGTGGTGACCATGGGAGGTGACTTCACATACCAGAGTGCCGCCAACTGGTTCATGAACATGGATAAACTCATCAAGTTCGTATTATTTTTAGTCATACTCGTGAACGGGTGCTGCTTGTGAGGACTAGTCTACTACTAGTTTGATATGGGTGATGAGACACTGCTTAGTTAGGAGGTTTAGATATTTGCTGACTTTTTTTTTTCGGACTACTCTCATGCTGTTGGCCGCAGCTGGCCTTTACAGCTTCACAGGACGTTAGGGGGCTAGTGCAGATGGCACTCCAAACCGGCGGAAGGACTTATGGAGCGGCTGAAGGCCAACTCCTGCCTGACGGATACGACTTTAGTCTGAGGGCACCACTAGGGGTTCGAACCTCGGCTCAGGCCGTCGTAATTCCGATCCCCGTTTGAATTGGACGGAGGATCGATCGGAGGGGGGGGCGGGTCGATAGGACGGGTATTAGCTGACTTTACAGGTACGCTCTCTCACGCGTAAAAGATTATGCAAGTAAATGTAGAGAAAGAGAACGAGAGAGATCGCGCGCTCCACCAGTGAGTACATTCCTGCGTCCTTAAATCGTGTGAGCTTTAATGCATTTTTATAAAATAAGACTTATGTTTAAAACTGTACATTTTCAGCCATGTCAACACGCATCCCGCCAATTTATCTGACATTAACATATTTTATTCGACGCCATCTTGTTATTTGAAAGCAATTTACCTCTATGGACGACGGGACAAAGCTCTATACACCGAAAGGGTAAGATTTTACCTTATTTATTTTAAGCTACATGGTATAGAGGCGTGACTTCTTTGTTACATCACTAAAGATACATACAATTCATTACAAACTAGCTAAACTAGCTGAACACAGACGTTGTCCTATCTTAAAAAAAACGCACTACTTTCTTGATTTTCGCTAACCTTCTCAATTTTTTCCTTCATAAGAACCTATATATGAGAATAATAAAAAAAAATGAATGAAATCGATCCAGTCGTTCACGCGCTATGTTATGACCAATGGAAATAGCGAATTATTTATATATAGATTTACATTCAGTAAAATAGGAATCATCAAAATCGATATGGAAATTTAATGAGTGGTTAACCACTGGACGTTCTATATCTGTAAGCATAGTTGTGTCTACATTGTAAGAGATTAGCGCGAAACTAAACAGAATATTTTGGAATTTAGTTAAAAATGGGATAAAACATCTTTTATTCAAATAAAGTTAATTTAGAACTATTGAGACCAGTTATAAAAACAGACGAATAAGATATTTCTATAAGCATAGTTGTGTCTACATTGTAAGAGATTAGCGCGAAACTCAACAGAATAATTGTGAAATTTAGTTAAGAATAGAATAGAAAATTCTTTATTCAAATAAACTTAATTTTAGCGCTTTTAAATAGTCATAATTATCCTTTCTGTAATTTACTGCTCATTCGGAAAGATTTCTCATCACAAGAAGAATGAGGAAGAAACATTGCGTGTTAAGAAATGTATATATTTTAGGAGGACCTGTTGCCATACGGCAGCGACCCGACCACCTACTGGACAGGGTTTTACACTTCCAGGCCCAGTCTGAAGTACATAGCGAGAAGATCACACACGTTCCTTCAGGTAATAATGGTGATGGTTCCTTCTTTTTATACAAACAGGTTGAAGGAACAGGGAATTTGCTTCAACAGCTTTACGGGAAGAAAATGAATGCGAGAGCAGAGGGAACTCCAACATTTAGAATGGACTTAGAGAGGATTATATTCTAATTAAATCCCCTAGTTCTGCTTTGCGTAATACTAGAAGCCTATGTTTGATCCCTGCTCACTTCTCCGCATATTATTCCATCGGATTCATCATATGTTTCTTCTGTGTACACAATAAAGAGTTTATTATTATGATTGATGTAACTACAGTGTGCGGGCACCTATAGAAATTCGAAGGGTAGGAATAGAACGGCCGTTATTTATATTTTATACTAGCGTACACGCAATTTCGTCCGCGTGGAATTTAACGTTATTTTTCTAAAATAAAAGTAACCTAAGTTACTCCTTATTACTCTGCTCTCCCTATGACTCTCTCTCTGGAACAAGGAACCTAAGTTACTACATTGCTGATGTAATAAGGAGTAATTTAGGTTACCTGCCAATAAAAGTACAGCAAGGAACCTAAGTTACTACATTGCTTATGTAATAAGGAGTAATTTAGGTTACCTGCCAATAAAAGTCCCGTCAAAATCGGTCCAACCATTTCAGAGATTAGCCGGAACAAACAGACAGACAGACAGACAAAAATTGTAAAAAAATATGTTTTGGTGTATGTACCGTATTTATATTCATATGCATGTAGTAAAAACGGTTATTTCAATGTTAAAAACAGACGCTACAATTGTATTATTTATATGTATATATTGATTTGTAATAATTTTTTTATGTAATTGGAATATACTACAGAACGACTTTCTGCACATTCTGTCTTATATATTTTAGTCAAGCAGTTTGATTTAGAAGCAAGCGGCTTGCTGCAAGTTTAATTAAGAGAATGAAAGATTAGTTTCTTGTATTAGGCCTCTGTCTCTTCCATCAGGTAATGAAGCAGCTATCAGTGATTGCACACATGGGAGACTCGTATGAGCTCCACCTCCTGAGACATGCTGTCAGCCTGGTACTCCATCACGACGGTATAACAGGTGATAAATACTTGTATTCATCTTTTTAACCCAATATTTTTAATATAGCACATCTTACCGTATGCTCGGAGTTTCTTTCCCTTTTTTTTTCTTGGGGAAAATCTTCATGGAGACACGCTCGCCCCGGGGGAGGTAGCTTCTTACCGACTGAAAACCCCAAGGTGTTCCTTCTCTTGACCTTTTGTCGGGGCTACGCGAATGATACTACAATTATTATTTTGTGTCCGTGGCGCTGTTTTTTTTTATAATAGTAATCTCAGGACAATTGATACAGCGCCATCTAGACACAAGCTAAAGCGTGTCTTATGGGTGCTAGACAACTATACATATTTTTTTTTTTGTAAATACATATTATACATAGAAAACATCCAGACCGATATATGTAATGTATGTATTTTGGATTTATAAAAAATATGGCAATGCAATTACAATTATAGAGGAAAGATCCGAGGCATGATGCCTCAAGAATGGAATATGGGAGTTACTACGGGATGTAATATTATATTATCTGTGCTATGAGTGTCTAATATTATTTTGTTGACAGATGACAGTTACCACATACCATCACGTTGGTCATCAGCTCTTGCCAGACTATTGATATTAAAAAAAAACCCATTACAGGCACAAGCCAGCAGCACGTTGCTAATGACTTCATGAGGATATTAAGCGAAGCCATCGACACATGTACCAAAAAGATATCGAATTTAATAAGGTAAATAGCAATATAAGTTATAAATACTAACATAACTTACTTAACAAAAACAAAATCATTGATAAAACTATTTTACATTGTCTATGGTTTACTTATTATGAACACGATCTTGACTCATCCGTTTCGTTCGCGGGCTGCTCGTATAATGCCTACTTTGTCCAAGTCACTGTTCATAGGTCGCCATCTTGTTCAATTCCGACTGCAAGACTTTGTAATGACCGTTACACACCTTTCTGTACTGTGGAATTGTATACTAGAGACAAATAATTTACATATTTCACGATCACTTAATAATCAACAATTTTTTTCTCTTATTTTTAATTTTAATATATCAGTATGTACAGTAGGGATTCAATAAAAAAATAGTAAATAGTATCTAAAACCTCATTAAAATTTTAAAGCATTTTAACACCAACGTGGGGCAACAGTAGACGCTCCAAACACAGTCAACAATTTGTCGTTTGCCACCAACTGAATATTAGCCAATGCCGGGTAAGTATGTACATCTATACATATAAATAAAATTGGATACAAACTCCAATTTTATTAGTAAGTATTGGTAAGTTGCTATATAAATTTCCTTTGATCAGAAATGAACTCACTATCTTTTATTTAAGTCTAAGTAATAACCCCCTAGGACGAGTCGCTATAAAAAAAAAATTACGTTCATAAGCAGCTAAAATGTCCTACCTTCATAAATGATTTTTGAATTCGAATTTGTTTTTGAACTATTTTAAACAGGTATTCGTAACTGAAGTATATAATTTATTATAGATTTTTATGCAACATGTATGTTTTTTTATACTACTACGGTGGCAAACAAGCATACGGCCCAACTGATGGTAATGGTTACCATAGCCTATGGACGCCTGAAACACCAGGGGTATCACGTGCTCGTAGTCTACTCTTAAGAAACCTTAATATACCCTTCTTGAAAAACTACATGCTATAGTCTCGAGAGAAAACCTCGGCAGGTAGTACATTCCACAATCTAAGTGTACGCGGGAGGAAGCTCCACTGTAGCTATGATGTAAACGTGTCTTCATTTTATACAGTTACTCGATTAAGTGTTGTTTGCAGTTCATAGAGACGCAAGAATCATATCTCCTGCTTGTATACAATCCTCTCAGTACTAAGACCTACCACCATATCAAGTTACCGGCCATCGCTCTCCACTACTCCATAAGGGATTTCAATGGTTCGTAATTATTAATATTTATATTTAAATATTATTGTGAATTGGCTCTAACCAGCGGCTTAGTCTAGATGTTAAAATCCGTTTACTTTTAAACTTACACGATACAAAAAATTGTATTCAAGAGTATGATCTACAAGCAGTATTGTTCTCATTCTTCTTATTATGAGACAGCTTTCCGAATGAGCGGTATATTAAAAGAAAGCTGACTATGACTATTCAATAGTGATTAAATTAAGTTTATTTGAATAAAGGTTCTATTCTATTCTATTGGTCTGGATGTTTTCTATATATATTATACATGTATTTACATAAAATATACATACTATATGTGTATTTATATCATCATCAGTCTAATACCACAACACAAGTAATGATTAGCTTGAGATTAAATAGAGCTGTGTTAATTGTCGTCGTCATCGTCGTCATCATCAACAACAACATCATCATCTTCAAATTGTCGATGATGATGATGTTGTTGATGCTGTGCTATTGTTGGTGCTGGTGACTTTATACAAAATCTATCTCGATATCTATTTAGATGAAGAAGTGGAATACCAGCTGGTTCCGTTGCCGAGTTCAGTAATCAACCTGCCGGGCCGTTCCTCCACCACTATACAGGAGCTGTGCTTCGAGGCAGAGAATATACCACCGCTGGGTTACTCGGCATACTATATAACACCAATTCGGGACCCGCTGGTAAATATTCCAAAAAATAGACCATATTAATACTGATTTTTATGAGTTGTATGAGTACTAGCTGACCCGGCAAACGTTGTTTTGCCATATAAATTAAAATAGCTATTAAAAAATAGGGGTTGGTGAAAGAAGGGTGAAAATTTAGGGTTGTATGTATTTTTAAATGCAACATTATAAAAAATAAAAAAATACAATAATTAACACAATAAAAACAATTTTACGAAAAAGTGAAAAAAAATTTTTGGGCTGAGACACTCTTAACTAAATATTCATTAGCAATACAATTTAAGGAACGTCTCTGAGTGCGGCCATAAACTTAAAGTCTGTCTGTTTATATATACCAATTTATTTTTAACATTGCCTTATCCTTTACAACATTTTTGTGGTTTTTTAATGAATATATTAATTAACCTGAATCAGGCATCACTTTTAAAAAAACATTTATTCATTCAATTCTTTATTCTACAATATTTGTTTCATATTTCACTTTGATACTTTTTATTTTTGTATAACTATATATTATATTCATTTCAGGAAGAAAATGCTTTTATGAATAAGAAAACACAAGTGAATCCTGATGCTGAACAAGACGTGATGCCACTTATTTCAAATGAGGTAAAGCGGCTCAATTAGACTTTATACAAGAACACTTTGAATAAAGTCTAATTGGTTTGGGTGCCTCTGTTTCACTTATTTCAGGCGCGAAACTGGAAAATAATTTTGAAGATTTACATAGGGTACGGAAGCCTGAGAACTTAATCCTTCGGAATGGATTGTTATCCGGATGTAGACTTAAGAAGCCCCTTTGCCAACGTACGTCGACACTCACCTTCACTGCTGGTGTTTGTCTCCCTGTCCAGCCAATTCTGGTAGGAGCCTGCTAGTGCAGCTTTAGATACACGTTCTGGTATATATCTTCCTGTAGTTCTAGACTAGGATAGAAGATTGTAGAGAGATTTCGCTAGTATATTTCTCACTCCTTCATCATCATATCATCATCATCAGCCTGTGTCTATCCACTGTTGGACATAGGCCTTTCCCAAAGACTTCCTCCATGTGCGCTCTTCCGCCTTCCGTATCCATTCACTCCCGGTCATCTTCGTTAACCTAACCACCTTTTTTAATGTGTGAAAATATAATGGTAAACTTACTTACGCTAACGGTGTACGCTAGCGGGGCACCAGTCGAGGATCATAGGATGATTATAAACAAGCCAAATCAGGTAACTGTAGTCTCTTCTCTTTTCTAGTTATCTTTTTTACCTAATTCCAGTACCTCAAAGTGACAGTGAACAAGGAGAGTGGTCTGCTGGAGTCCGTCCAACACATCGACGGCGCTACCATCCAGGTGTCGCAGAACTTCTTTTACTACAGCCAAAAGTCGCAAGGACTGCAGTCTGGGTCTTATAGCTTCAGGCCTAACACGGAAAGACCTTTGCCGGTATGTTTATTAAATACTAGCAGTGCCCGCAGTTTTATCCGCGTTGAATTTCAATATAAAATATAGCCTATGTGTTATTCTGATGCATAAGTTGTTTAAGCATTACTGTAAATGTTCAGTAAAATCCGTTCAGTAGTTTTTGCGTGAAAGAGTAACAAACATTCATACTTCCAAACTTTCACGTTTATAATATATTAAGATTATGATTAAAACAGTTTTAATACGTGAGATGATAATGGAATGGTGCAACCGCCTGTGCTAACGGATTACACTGGCGGGGCATCAGTGAAGTATGATAAGACGAGCATGAGGTCAGGTCATTCAGCATGAATTGAGCAGTATGGTTTCTAGGGGCAACTAAGTGGAGGTCAACCTGATATGATACGTTGCTAGCTATGGGGTTATTTATCCACATTACTAACAATCACTTCTCTCCCATACATCAATATTACGATGACTCGATTCAGTGCAGGTTAGCCCGACAATTGAGAGATCATCTGCACTTAGAAAACAGAATAGAACAGAACAGAATGGAACGAAACGGAAAGGAACAGAACAGAACAGAACAGAATAGAACATAATATAACAGAATAGAATAGAATAGAAAAACATTTATTCAAATATTGAAGCACTTTTGAATAGTGATCACATTTTTTTCAATCTACTTCTGTATTATAGGTAACAGATCGCGTGGTCTACCACGTGGTGAGGGGATCTCTGGTGAAGGAAATACGGCAGAAGTTCAGCGACTGGATCACGCAGACCATACGGCTGTACCGGGGCGAGGAGTTTGTGGAGATGGAGTGGATTGTTGGACCGGTTCCGATTGGGTAAATATGATAAGTAGACTGTAAAAAGACCTCTGTGTGTATTTGTACTATCCCTTAGTTCTGGTGTAAATAAAAGGAATTTTTGTACTATTGCAAAAGAATTTGTATTTTCCCTCCAATGAGTCAGTTAACGCTGTGTGATTTGTCCTGGGTTATTATTATTATTATTACTACACTAACATTAGAATTTTGTTTACTTTATTCAGCACCGACTTGGGGAAAGAGGTTGTCAGTGTGTTCACTACAAACATCACCAATAATGGTGAATTCTTTACCGACTCGAACGGCAGGCAGATGATGAAGAGGAGTTGTTGGAATGAGACGTCCAGTAAGTGGAAATGAAACTTTAAAAAAATACGAATTACAAAAACCTTCACAATTAACCTTCTCTTTAGTATATATCAGTATCAATGCCAGATACTTCCATTTGGCCGCATTCAGAACCGAGCAATCAGAATTATTAGTAATCAACGTCTTTGTGACAGACTCGATCTATTGGCTCTGCGGCGAGATATTGTTCATCTTCTCATCTTATGCATCTTTGTGCGTTTTGTACGACATACATTGCGGAGAGGAATTGTTCGGATTAATACTAGCCGCTTAATTTCACTACCAAGAAATTAATAATCCTTGCAGGTTTATCATCTTGATTATCTGGCAGAAGGGCGGTCGTCCATCATGCGTTTATCACAGAAGAATCTCTTTCTAGTAACGGTATTTCCGTTCTGATAGGATATTAAAATCTTCAAGAAAAGACCTTATTCCTTTATAAAAGACCAGTAAGGCACTTGCAATTGCCCTGGTGTTGTGGGTGCTTATTGGCGGCTGTAATGACTTAGTGTCAGGTGAGCCATTAGCGGAGATTAGCTCGAACATACAAATCTACCTCTTTATAGTATTTATTAGCACAGATATGTATTAGTAAGTAATAATAAACAATTCACACGGCAGTACCTAGGCTAAACTAAGCAGAGCTTGTGCTACACTATATCTTTACATACCCATAAAACACCTAAATCCATAAAACAGTAAAACTCATAAACACAAATATTTGTTTTGTGGGGTCGAACTCACGACCACCGGAAGGTGAGGTGAGGTAGTGTGTTAAACCTCAACAACTAAACTGACATTAATTGAAAGCATTTGCAGGTCAACAACAAAAGAAACCGCTCTCTGCGTGCTACTTCCCAGTGACCTCCAGGATTTGTATCCACTCTCTGAACTCGAGCATTGAGATATGTGTATTGAGTGACAGAGCCCAAGGCGGCACCTCTTACACTGAAGGGGAATTAGAATTAATGGTAAGTCAACCTTCTTAATTTATTTTGAAATGTATACAAAATGGCCGACAAGCTGACGCTATATCTAATGGTAAGTGGTATATACTTGAACAGCATCACGTGGGGGAAAGTGGTTTCTCAGTAATGTGGACTGTTGACGTCATTGCTATCAATGTATTGTACATTAACCTAGGTTAACCTTCACGTGGAACCCATTATGATAATTTCATGTTAAAGTCACGTTTGTGTCTTCCGTTGCATATAACGTCAGCGCGGGCAGGTGTACCATTTTATTGAGAAGAGGAAGAGCGGTTGTTGTTAATAATGAGGATAGTAGTTCCATAGCTAGCAATATACCATGTCAAGTAGACCGTGCTGCTCCTCGGAGAACTATATTGGTCGTCAATTTCAGGTAAATTAAATCATCCTTCAAAAAAATATTACTTTGCAGGTTCATAGGAGACTCTTAACAGATGATGGATTTGGTTTAGACGAGGCACTCAACGAGGAGGCGCATGGTGCAGGTCTGGTTGTTAAAGGCAAACACAGGATTCTGTTTGGTAACTTCAGACAAAATGGTCAGTATATAAAAATTGTAAGTTTCGATGTTGGTTACAATATCTAAAACTATTCATTCTGTTTCAAAAAATCAAAATTAAAAAAAAACCATACGGTTACAAAAGTAAAATGTAAATGTTTTCTGAACTGGAATGCTAACTACTCGTAGGTGAGCCGACAAAAAAGTTCGGCAGGAATGCTGATATTTTTAAATGGAGAATTGAATCAATATGTAAAAACAAAAAATTACATGAATTTTTATTTGAGACAATTAAGCTTTTTCTTTGACTTTTACTATTTTTTTACTAATAACAAAAATAGAGGACTTTAATGGTCCCAGGCAGGCAAAACCACTCATTCCTGGCGAATGTATATATGTAATAATAATATACCTTGACAGTTCACACAGTGCCATCTAGTCCCAAGCTAAGCAGAGCTTGTGTTATGGGTGCTAATTAACTTATATAAATACCTATATTTTGTTGAGATACATAAATATTATAAATATCAACACCCAGATCGAAACAAACAATCATACTCATGAATACAAATATGTGCATCCGTGTGAGGAATCGAACCCGCGAACATCGGAAGTAAAGCGGTGTGCTAAACCCCTAGACATGAGTAGGTTGTATAAAATAGCAATTTCGAGCATATATCACTTATTTCGTACAATTGTAAAGAAAAAAACGTATAAAATGTGTGCAGTGGATGACCAGAGTTTCTCGGAGCGAATATCCCAGTCGGCCAGGAAGTGGCTCATGGAGCCGTGGCTGTTCCTCGCATCGGGAGACAAATTGAATAGAAGAAAGTGGCAAAACATAAGGAATAGACGTGTAAGTTATTTTTATTTAATTGGAAGAAAAAAGTATGATTATTAAAAAGTGTTTAATATTAAGTTATAAGTTTATTTGAATAAAGAATTTTTTATTCTATTTAAAACCCACCTGATGGTAAATGGTAACAGTCAATATATACGAACAACCCTAACATCCTGTTATCATGTGATACCCGTGATACCAGACATGGGTTATCATTGTAGAGGACTAAGATACCATACTTCTTATCCTGTAATTTCAAATGGAGGTGGTTAGCAGTGACCTTGGTGGTGTAACAGTTTACCACACCACCTTTCTTCTGATGGTCGCGGGTTCAATTCCTCGCACGATAAGTATGATTGTTTATATAGATTTGTTTTCTATGTATCTCAAAAAAATATAGGTACTTATATGTGTGATTTCTCCTGATGTATTCTTATAATTATTTCACATTTCACAAAATATAGTTGGTAATTTTATTGTGATTATAAGGACAGACTTATATCATCAAGTTGCTAGTTTTCAGAATTGTATTTTTAATATTATTTAATGGAGTATTAAAAAAATTCATAACCATTATACACGCACGCGGGTTTCCTTAATTGCAGTTGATTTAATACAATTAATTTGGGATCACTAGTGGATGATACAATAAATATAATAGGGATAATGAAAACTGTATTTTGATGCAACATATCATTTATTTCTTAAATATTCTTTATTGCACTTAAATACATTTCTTAGATATATTAATTAGAACTAATATTAACAAAGGAGGACTTATCTCTAAAAGAGATCCCTTCCAGTTAACCCTATACAGCGTGGCATACGAAGTCTTGAGTGGGTCAAATTGTGCAAATAATATTTTAATATAAATCTCATAAATAATTATGATTTCTTCTGATAGAGGTACGTCTACTTCCTCTTATATATAAGTTCCTCCCGTGGACACTTAGATTGTGGAATGAACTTACTTCTTTCTTATCATTTTCTCGTGAGACTACAGCATGGGATTTTTCAAGGGTACATTAAAGTTACTAAAGGGTCGGCAAAGCGCAGCGCGCGCGATACCCCTGGTGTTTCAGGCGACCATAGGCTACGGTAACCGTTTACCATCAGATGGGCCGTATGCTTGCTTGTCACATACGTGGTATAAAAAAAGCATTTACTATTTGTATTATTATTGTTGGTCGGCAGTACTCGTCAGTTCGTCTCCACGGTCTACCTCAACATATCCACGTGCTAACATTAGAACCGTGGAAGGCTGGCACCGTGTTACTGAGGCTCGAAAACACATTAGAGAAGTCACACAGAGGTATTTTCTATTACTAACACATGTTTACTCTTAAACATATATTCTTAACAGAACAATGTTAAAGTTTTTAGGAAAGCACTTTTTCTACTTCCTTTTATGGAAATCGGTCGTTATTTTTACGACTAGTTATGCCAGCGTCATGTATCAGAGGAACGCACTGGAGTGTTGTTATATATACTCTGAATTTCTGAAAAATACACTTCTCAAAAGTAATCATAGTCCATTTGACAGGATATTTCCACTATCATTATAATCTAATAGTTCTATTTGATTTTGTTATTTATTTTCTTTTTAGTAGAAGAAAATAAATAACAAAATCAAATAGAACTATTAGATTAGTATCTATACTTTTAAAAAAGAATTACTAACAAAATGGACTGAAATAAAAAAAATAGAATGTATGTAGTCCTTTAAGATGTACGTACATATGTTTAATCAAATGCTGTTTTTTTAAAACAATACAAGAAAAATTATGAAATTGTACTTTGCCTACCTATTTACTAGCAATATAAAGGATTGCACAAGATTTTACCACGGAAGATTATCTATATCCAATAACCAAAAGAGGGCTTAAGGAACATTGAGGACCATGAAATTAAAGAAATATATATTTTATGTATAGGAAATTTAAGAGGAGATAAAGCAGAAGGCCCTGAAGGGTATGACATAAAGACCTCACACATAACGGTGGACCTTCGCAAAATCTTCCTACAGTTGCAAGTAAAGATGGTACGCGAGACCACGTTGGCCGCCAACCAATGGTTAGACGATGCAAGACAAATGGATTGGAGTACTAGGTAAAGATAATAAGCTTAAAAATACTATTAATTTAATATTTTTAAATAACTTTTATAATGTACACGTTAAATTAGGAAAAATCAAGGAATCTTAACATGTCTCATTTATTTTTACACGAGTAACCGCACATGGCTGCTTACTGTGCACTATCCAATTGCCGATACGTACAATTTCACTTAATTACATTTTTCTTGGAATAAAATCTGTGTTCGAGTAGCATTCAACAAATGCGGTTTTATTTAAGAAAACCCCTCAGCAACCAATCGCAATAATTATCACTTCTTTCTTTGATACTTCGAGCCGGATGTGCGATATTTCTCGATCAGTTCCCGATATTTAAACTTCTTACAAAGTCGGTGATACCAAGCATCATAATATTTAAGCTATATTCAGCTTTTAAAAATAAATTAATTTAGTCTAAACATATTTTTCAAATTTAGGTACGTTTACAATGGAGCTGACGATGGTATACTACCAGAAGACGTAGATTATGGCGATGATAAATCAGCAAAACATAGCGATAAGGATTCTGGTATGAAATCAGATACATTATATCTAATTTGACCAAATTACTCTTCTAATCTGATGGGATCTTTCATTAATAATTTAACAGATTATATTTACACTCACGGAATGAAATCATATAGGTCAATTTGAGTATGATTAATCAACTACATTAAAATGTTGTTAAAAGAACTTAAATTATAATAAAAATTAAATTAAATTAAGATTGAGGAAACATAGGTCCTAATACATCATTGACATTTTCTACCAAATCATAAATAGTGTAGATTGAATAATAATTCACTAAGATTAATATTTTCAGAATTTTATTTCGATGAAGAAATAGATTATACAAGAAAGAAAATAGAACCTAAAAGAAATATGAACAAAAGAGTCAAGAATAAAGCTCCAAATGCCAATTACGATTACAATAGAAAAAAACGATCCCTAAATATATCTGAGAATGTTATTGAAAACATAATCGTTAATGAAACGGATGATGACCGAAAAATGACAATTAATGATAATAAAACAAAATTTAATAACGATTGCATAAATATGCCTTATGCAGAAGAAATAACAATTAAAAATGAAACAGATGTGAATGGAAATTTACACAGTATAGATGTCAAGAAAAATCCAAAGACAATTAGTATTATCAAAAAGCATTTACCGCATTGGAAAACCGATACAGAATCTTACGAAGATGACATTTCGATGAGTTTAAAAAGGACTAAAAATAGAAATGGGTTTCGAAATTTGAAGAAAAACAAAGATACAGGTAATAATTATGGTATACTTTACGAAAAGTAGACATATATACATGTCTTTCGTACCTCGGTAATCACTAAAAACTATAATGCTAGGGTAAGAAAAATGTTAGAAAATGAAAAAGTACAATATGAAGTGACTTTATTATGCTATAGTACAGTGACTTTATTACGCTATTGTACTTGGAGATTGACTTTCAAAATCTTATTGAAATAGGACTGTGTAGTCTCAAATCTTGAAATTGACTTCCAGACTCTATTCTCGATGACTCTGACGACGGAATTACAAAATCAATTTACGACATGTATTACAAAAAGAAAACAACTAGAACTTACCCTTTCAAGCCCTTGTTGAGAAATTCGGAAGAGGAAACTAGAATAAGAAGAAGGAAGAAGAAGTCGGGAAGATACAATAGTGAGGAGGAATATGAAGATATTTCTGTAGACACAGGTATATTACTAAAAATGAGTGACCGCGTTTTTTTTTCAAAAACAATAATTTATACATATATTAATAATAACCTTCTGTTAAAGAATATACAACAAGAAACTCGAGAAAAGAAAGGAATAGAAAAAGAGGGAAGAAGACAAACGTTGATATGTCTTTCTTCTTAACTGATCGTAAGAGAAAGACTAGAAAAAATGATGCAGATATTATAAGGAGAGCGGAAGATACAGAGTCATTTGAGGATAACATGTCTCAAGGTATGATATCCTTATATTTTTATAATTATACTAAGTTAAATAAATGAGAGAAATAAATCCAAAAAGCCAAAAAAATTAATGATTGCTGACTACGTATCTACGGATACCAGTTGGCTTTCTAAATAACTGCTATTTTGTCATCTATACATTGGAGTACTATACAAAATTTGAGTGTCTGTTTGTAATATTGAAATAACCGTTTTTTACTACATGCATATGGATATAAATACGGTACATATACCAAAATAATATTTTTTACAATTTTTGTCTATCTGTCTGTTTGTTCCGGCTAATTTCTGAAATGACTGGATCGATTTTGACGGGACTTTTTTTGGCTGATGTAATAAGGAGTAACTTAGGCTACTTTTATTTTAGAAAAATACAGTTAAATTCCACGCGGACGAAGTCGCGGGTACAGATAGTCCTAAATATAATAGTTTATAAGAAGAATAACTAACTGTAATTACTTAAATTGGTGTCAATAAATATATTATTATTTATTTATTTATATCCTTCACATATGCAACTTGCAAAGCAAACTGCTTGGTAGCTGAAATATACAAAGTCTAGAATATTTATTATGTAATACGACATAATAATTGTATTAAAATAATTTACACGATTGTCTAATCAAATAATTGTTTCTATAAATCAGAACAATCAAGATTAAGAACAAAACATCGGAAAGGAACACAGTTCGACACAGAAGACTACGATGCAATGTCGCGCAGTGAAGAAGAAGTAGAGGATACAGAAGATGAAAGAAGAACAGAGAGAAGAAGGAATAAAAGGTATCAATATTGACAATTTTCGTAAATGCAGACGTAATCAATACCAATATTATAAAGTGACAGAAAACGAATTTAGATATGAGCTGTAGTAAAGTCCGGAACTAATGCATTAATTTCCGAAAGTTCTTTGTATTATTCTTTATTGCTTTATAACCACTTCGACAATTATGACAGTGGAAAGAATTTTTTAAGAAGAATTTTTTGTAAAATATGTTCTGATTTCAGTTATTTGAAGAGTACAATAAAAACATCCATTCACTACACATATAACATTTAATCTGAGAGAGCGCACCCGTATTTGTGATTCAGATACAGCAATTGTATTAGTGATTCACTTAACTACCTACATATGTTACATTTTTCTTTACAGGTCAATTTCTAAAGATGAAGGACTGGGATCGTCCAGCGGAGAAAATATAGACCGAAAAGAGGATTTAGAATATATAGTGACACTACGGCCCACACAAATACGTACCTTTGTAGTGTGGTTTGAAAGTAATAGAAAACACTATGTCATATGATGTTTTAATGTAATTTCTTTTTTATACGACTCTTCAAAATAAATGCTCAATAATTATTTTATATAAATTATTTATTATATAATTAATTTAAATCGAATAGTTTTATTTTTATTATATAATATGTGGAAATTAATAGATCATAGAGATCATAGAGTAAAAACTCGTCTGCGCGTGTACCTCAGTCTCACCTATATCAGCCGCCAAGCAGCTTGCTTTGTAAGCTCTTTCCATTGTAGGGTAAAGATTAGGCAGTGAAATTACAGGATAAGAGGCATGACATCTTAGTCTCTGGAATGACAACGTATGAGTGACATCACCTGCATCAGATGATAACGTGATGCCCTTATTGCTGTACCTGTATAAAGGTTACGGTTATTACTTACCATTAAATGGGCCGTCCATTGGGGTTTATAATCTAAATATATACAAAAAAAAAGTATTTGTTACTTAACAATTAGTTATTTACAATAAAATTTTAATATTTACACCAACTACGTTGTTTCTCTAATATGGTAGCAGAGCGGTAAAAAATAACTATTCAGACTAGAGAATCCTCTTCAAAATGACTGCTTTATCACTAACCATAGATAAATAGTCGGGAATGGCGAATTACGGCAATTGGATAGTCCAAAAGAAAATGATACTCAAGCTTGATTACCACTCTAATTACATAAAAAGAAAAGCAAGAAAAAAGTCACGGGTAAACGCTAGTCTTGAAATATTACCATCTACCATCGAGTTTCTTCAACAATTACGCAATCATATACATATCGGTTTCATACACCACAACCGCTGCTTTGAAAACGTTATTAGAAAAAATCATGGAAGAGCCACAACCAGCAACCCACCGAGGATCTTAACACTGGTAAATAGGTAGAACATTACATAAAATTAATATTTTCTACGAATGTGTTGTATACAGGCTGAGTTGTAAACATTTAGTAAGGTGGCACATCATCCAAGAATCAAACGGTGATTCTTACATCAAGTTACCGAAAGAAATAAAATCAATTAATAAAATAAATCAATAATATAAATAAAGTTATTTTACAGAAAATTGAACTATTAATACATATATATAATAACAAAACTAAATGTTCTCAGTTGACGATGTTTAAAATTACCTATCGTTAAATTTGTTTATGAATACAGCACAGTACTGTACATGTACCTACTGTGCCATCACGCTGGGAAGATCAAGCATGTGGTAAGTTTCGAACTACTTACGACCTGCCCCGGATCCGCACGAGTATTAGGCATAGTGGTTATGGAATAAAAAATACTAGGTTTGTTACTGGTGTGTAAATACACTTTATTCTTAAAAATTGGACTTTGAACGATCGGAATTTTTTTGAGTGGTGAATGATGAAGGCTCGAAGATTGATCTTAATTGAAATTTTGGTCTCGATCGGTGAAGCCGTTTCAGAGGAGTATACAAAGAGTCCAAATCTGATCTATGAGATCGCTCCGCACTTCGCATTCCGCTCGATTATCCATCACACTTAAAAGTAGCGATCTTGTTAGGTCTTACGTGCGACTGTGATGAAATCCTAATAAAATTATATTTACTACTATATATCCACCTAATAACTTCATCAACAAGTGCATTATTGAAAGGATCACTTTCAATAAAATAAAGGCCATATTACTCGATGATACCATTTTATTACTTACCGCCCCGGCTTCGAACGTATATTTACCAAAAATATATAAATTTGAGATTTATACACACTCACCTTCACTATACTTTTAGTTTCTCATTTATTTTCATTGTTTTTATTTAAATTGTATACAATGCTCTGGAGATGGGCGCAAATAACTGCAACACGGTTTTTTGTAAACTAATGTAGTTGTTTACGTTTGATATGTTATTGTTATAACTGTTTTTGGTTTAAATAAATTATTTAATTCTTTAAAATAATTCTTAATTCTTTTTCCCCAATCCCAACTAAATCCGGGATACATTCACTTTAATATCCAAAATACAACCGGCACGTTCTGTGCTCATCGACCGAATGTCGTGGCTTACAAAAACTCCCTCCTCTCACACAGACATGCGTGGGGGTTATACGTAAATAGTTTAACGATACCAAATAATAATTAAACAACCTTCTTTTAATATTTTAATATTGTCGTATTTTTCTCCAATATCAATGTAAACCCTAACATACGAGACAGTTACTTATACTTTAACATTCAGGCTTCAAACGTGTCTACAATGATCTACTCCAGCGGATGGGAAGACGTGTATGACGAGTCGATAAGGAAGATGGTGCAGTTCATGATAGCCAGGTGGCAGGTCACCATGGAGATTAAAGTGTATGTTAATAAAGTACATGTTTTTGTAAGTATTCGTCCTTTAATAGATCCAACTTAAAAGATTTAGTTGTCTGGGTTTGTCTAACCTATTTCAATAACCTCGGTGGTACAGCGGTTACTTGTAAAAGTAAGTAAGTAGTGCTAGACCACTACTTACTTCCGATGGTTGTGGGTTCGATTCCTCTCACGGTACAGACATTTGTATTCATGAGTATAATTGTTTGTATCGGTCTGGGTTATGTATATATATTATACATGTATTTTAAAAAATATAACACTTGTAGCCATAACACAAGCTCTGCTTAGCTTGGGACTAGATGGCGCTGTGTTAATTGTCCAGGGTTATTATTAATAGCTATGCAGCAATGTTTTTATTTATTTACTTCAGGCTATTAGGCTACTAACGGCTCACACTTTAAACTAGCTGTGCACACGGTTTCACCCGCGTGAAATGTATAGCCTGTTTTTTATTTATATTCTCATGTACAAGCTATATTACTGTAGTTTCATTAAAATCCGTTCAGTAGATTTTGTGTGAAAGAGTAACAAACATCCATCCATACTTATATACATTCACGTTTATAATATGATTAAAATTACTAAATAAATTTATTTTAAACTGAAGTTATTAGTTAGGTTGATGTAGGTTTTAGTTTTTACTAATAAAGCGATTTATCATTATTTCCAGATTATAAAAACAGCGTACTCAATGTTCACTCTGCTCAAAGCAGACTAAAAGCACTATTACAATATCAACCAGCACAATTACACATAATTTTGAGCACATTCGGCCAATTACAAGTCTTTTAAGATAAAGTACAATTTCAGTGTAAGTCTGTAATCGAGATGTTTCTGAGGACGCCAAGAGACTGATAAGTGTTGTAAAAGACACTTTGTGTGATTTACTAGAACTATTGTAGAAACGCGATTGTAATACTGTAAATGATAACAGCAGGCTTGCTTTTTTTTATAGCACATGGGACAAACGAAAAATAAGTATTTCACATAACATCTGTAACACATATTATCACATATTTCAAATAAAACAAAGTATGAATTTAAATAATATTTTATTTTTAAAAAATTATACAAACAATAAATTGCATCTAACCAAAACCCAAACAAAATGGGCTATACTGATCCATTGTAACCCATAGAATAAATTACCTAATATAAACACAAAAATAAGACACCCAAATCTTCAGGATGAAATACCGATACAAGTATTTGTAACAGATGGCACTCTGAGTATTTTAATGTATGTTTATTAGTTTTGAGAAACGTTATACTCGAGTATTATTTTCTCGTATACTTAATTAGTCATATGAGATATAGCAAGAAAAGTAAAGTGGGAATTGAAAACATATTCATAACTATGCAGTCGCTAAGCTACACAGGGCAAAATATACTCTCTACCAGAATAAATAAATCAGTAATTTCTAAATTAAACATGCTGTGACCAGTGTTGGCGCAGTATATAAAAATAGTCCGCAAATATATAAAATTTTTTATTTTTGTGGTTAAACACAGGATATAATGAAAATATGTAGAGGACCTGTTTTAAGCAGATTTTTTTCTATTTTTTCATATTGCTTGCCGTTGTCGAGTTATTTGAAAAAAAAAAGCGTTTTTCATCCCTTTTTTTTTAATTTTTCATCCCTTTCCCATTAACTTAAATCAAAATTTCTTTCTGATTATAATTAATAATTCATGTATTGCGCCAAAACTGGTCACATCATGTTTAATCTAAAATTTTACTGGACTAAAACCCTCAGAGCCATCCGTTACCTGCGTAAGTATTACAATAATATTACATTAATAATAATCAAGTGTCATCCACACACTGTGACTCCCGTAAATCTATTGATTTTGCCACAAAAATCAAATTTCATAATAAGAACAATAGACATAAATTACTTTTTTAATGTTTTAAAAACATTATTGCTTTGGATGACTTATTTTTGTAACCAATGATATATACCTATTTTACAAAAATTAATAGGTATGTATCACGAAAGAATTAATTTATATAATAATTATGAGAAATATGCCGTTTTGGTGAGCGTCTTATGTTGCTTCGTATTATATTTGTAAAAAACAAATATAACTATAATATTGTCTATCTACTTTGTTCTATCTACAAATTACACCGTATATCTAACTATAATAGTTGAGATGAATATGATTTTTTAAAAATCACCAAAACACATTTAATTCTTAAAAAAAATAAGTTTAAAAAGGGAATTTATTTTTTAAATAAAACAGCTCATTTAATTGTATCAAAATATATGAATTAATTTTGAAAAGATACATACATGTAATGTTTAATATAATAAATGTTAGCTGGTAGATATAGATATTTAACTGGAATAGCAAATCTAGCTTAATAGTCCATCTGACGGTAAACGGTAACCGTCGCGCTATATATGTATATGAACAGTTTCACAGACATCACGTTATCGGGTAACGTCCGTACAACCACTCATGTGTTGCCATTCCAGAATTAATTTAGAACTAAATCCATTTTTAGTGATATATTTTCAATAATGTTGTTTAATGACACAAAATATAAGCTTTACCTGTAAAAGCTTGTAGCTTACAACTGTTCCTCGATCCAAAAATTCATCAACGGATAGGAATTGTTATCCCCAAACCGATTAATAATAACCTACCACTAACGATCAGATCAATAAATATCCGAGATGTTATTGAGGACCGACAGATTAAAGATCACCTGACCAAAACGACAAATAAAACAATAACAAAGGTTAAATAAGAAAGTAACAAGTAAAAAAATAAATAGCCAGTTCAGGAATGTTCTAAGAGTTTGTACGTGTTGCCAGGATTAAAAATTACGCCTGAGTCGATCGCGAGCAACAGAATCATTATGAGTCGTTCACGTGACTCCTTTAATGAAATCATTTCATATCCCAGTCTTAAAGAATCAAATGACTCGATCATTTGAGCACCCGTTTCCAGCCGTGACAAAATTCAAAGAAAAATAAACTTTATGAGTTAACAAGTAATGTTAAAAATTAATTAGGTTCTTATGTGGTGAGTCTACGATTTATTTCTATGAAAATGAATTCTATGATTACCCGTTTGAGCCCATTTTAGTATGCGCCAATGCGAATGATCTAATTCTCTCATTCACTCATTCATTAGTGACCACTACTTAAATCATTCATCGATCGACACAGGAATATTAATTATACTCTAACGTGGTCCGAGAAAAAGCGAGTACTGCGCTATAACCCATAAAAAATGGAGGTAGCACCCAGATTGTTGGTAAGACGATTGGACCTAGAACGTGCTGCTAATGTAACGGTATGATACATTTCTGCCCATAAGGCTTAAATACATTCCCATTCATTTGAGTTGACGCTGGTATAAAGGGGCCTCGAGGCCCCCACCTGCACCCTGTTAGGTGAGTGCGGATGACTCGGTTTAGGTATAATGTATAATTATTGTGTTTTGCAAAATCTACCGCGTGCGTTACTAATGTACTCATATTTCCTTGCCTCACAACTACAACTACAAAAATTGCAAATTGATTGGCTACATTTCTAGTCTGGATTTCTCATGCCCAAAAATGCAAAAACGACGTTAAATGCGGATAAATAAAGTTCAATTTACATTGACAACTCCCAAATTTCTCGGACAACGTACGAAATTTTCTTTAAAATTATAAGAACGATAAATATGAACTTTAAAACTATCATAGTAAAAGCGAGTTAACCTGTTTTGGTACCTTATATAAGAACATAAACACCATATATTCGAGATATTCCTTTGATTCATCCACAATCATACATACCTAATAACCATACATGACATCCGTCTCACGACTACAGATAAAATATATCTTTACATAGTATATAATGAAGCAGCTTCCGCCGTCTGCTCGCTTAGATCTTTTAAACTACGCAACGGACTTTAATGCAGTTTTTAGCAATAGATAGTGATTCAAGAGGAAGATTTACAGGTATAATACATGTACACCCGTGCGAAGTCGGGGTAGGTAGTTAGTATTTAAAAAAAAATATATCCAATACTTGCCGGCGCCAACGATATATCCAAACATAGTAATATTGCACGATATCCCTATGTATAGATTGTATTAGATATGACTGTTACTCTATCGTGTTTATATAGATATCAATGAATGATTTATCGGCAACTAAACATCTAGTACGAGATATCAGTATCGCTCGATATTAGAGAGACATACTTTGTCAATGTATTGAAGATTCGTACAAGTATCGGTCCATATCAGCGACACATACTGAATTGAAATATATAGTTTAGTTACTCAAAACTCATACATAGATATTATATACAGACTAAAGGTAGTAATTAGTTCGTAAACAAACTCATTCTAGAGTATTTTTTATATATTACTAGCTGTACCCGCGACTTCGTCCGCGTAAATAATGAAAAAATATTTAACTCAATTAACACAATATAAGTCAAATAAATAAGTTTCATCATTTTAGCTTAAAAAATGATAAAAAATAAAAATAAATATTTAATCAATAGGCTAAAAAATAAATTTCAAGATTCTAGCTTTAAACATGACGATACATCTATATGACCTTGGATCTACCCTTTCAATCCTCTTGCAACCCTTTTTCACATTAAAAAGTAACCTATGTCCTTTCTCAGGATCTAGTCTATCTATGTCTGTTTAAGCGAGATAAACAGACAAAGTTACTTTCACATGTATAATATCAGTAGGGTATTTAATAAACTAACTCTAAAAAGACAAAGAAAAAAGTTTAATCGTTCTAGCTTCCACAACCACACAAACAGCAAATTTCCACAATAACTTTCATTCCCTATTTTATTTTACTACCCCCCCTCCCCCTAAGAGTAAAAATTTTACAAACATTGAAAGTCTAAAAATGAGTCTCAAACTTCTAGTTTTAAAAAATGACGATTCTTCCATACAGCGTACCATTGCAACCCCCTTACAATCCTTTTTTCACATTCAAAAGTACCCTATATTTTTTGTCCTGGTGTAAACTAACTGTGTTTAATTTTTTTAAATTTCATTTAAACTGACAGAAAGACAAACAGACTTACTTTCACAGTTATAACATTAGTGGGGTATTTAAAAATCTACCCCAAAAGAACCAATGAAAATAGTTTCATCGTTCTAGTTTCAAAAATTACGAATTTACATAATAACTATCATCCCCTATTTTATTTTGCCCCCTTAAGGGTAATTTTTTTACAAACAATGAATGTCATATGTATTTATATTTAATCAACAGTCTCAACAATAAGTTTAAGCTTCTAGCTTCAAAAATGACGAATTTATATAAAAACTTGCATCCCCTATTTTATTTTACCCCCTTAAGGGTAATTTTTTACAAACATTGAATGTCATTTTTATTTATATTTAATCAACAGTCTCAAAAATAAGTTTCAAGCTTCTAGCTTCAAAAATGAAGATTCTTCCATACAATCTTTCATCCCCCCTTTTAACCCCTTACAACCCTTTTTTCGCATTAAAAAGTAGCCTATGTCCGTTCTCAGGGTCTAGACTATCTGTATACTAAATTTCATTCAAATCGGTTCAGTAGTTTTGGCGTGAAAGCGAGACAGACAGACAGAGTTACTTTCACATTTATAATATTAGTTTTTGTCGCAGCACAAAAATATATTTTTATCGTTTCCGTACAAATAATAATTTTACAGTATTAATCTACAAACCAACATTTTGTTTCTTACAATCAGCTAAATAATTTAAATAGTTCCATAATATATGGCACAATGAAAAGGTCATTTATTTTATAAAAAAGACAGTTAGTTTTTATTTTAGTGAAAAATAAGAAAATTCTATTTTGATACAACAACCATATATTTATTAATACCTATACTTTATTAATTTTGTGTTAATGCTTTTTAAATAAACACCCACACATTATTTCTGTATAACCTACAAAAATGGGTAAATAATTTAATTTCGGATAGTGCCACACCACAACATTCTTTAAAAAATGTAAATAATAAAATTTGAAGAAATTGTGATTGTTATTAAGTTTTTTTTTATTTATTATTATTTAACATTGGACATTGACTTTAATTTTTGTAATTTATATTGTAAAACTTTAAGTTGGGCTAAACTGGGCTTGTATCCAGAGCCGTAAAACAAATTAATAAAAAAATCGCCAAATTTGTCTCGCAATCGGCCAATTTCAAGTTTAAAGAAAAAACACATACACACGATATACGATTTTATCATAAAAAAGTGTCAAAAAACAATATTTTCACTAAACGTCAACGTCATGTTTCCGGCAAGATCTTTCGTTTTACATTACGTTATCTGTGGGTTTGTTCTCTGTGATGGATACCTTATTGGCGCAAACGCACGCGATGAGTTGATTGGTTGTTAGCTAGTGAAATGAAAAGATGGCGAATGGCGCAAACGCACGCGATGTGTTGATTGGTTGTTAGCTAGTGAAATGAAAAGATGACGAATAAGGATTCAACCGCATAAAGATAACCTTGTATTTCCATTTTGAACCCCTTACAACCCTTTTTACGCATTAAAAAGTAGCCTATGTCCTTCCTCTGTGCCTAGACTATCTGCGTACTAAATTTCATTTAAATCGGTTCAGTAGTTTTGGCGTGAAAGCGAGACAGACAGACAGACAGACAGACAGACAGAGTTACTTTCGCATTTATAATATTAGTAAGGATTGATTAATTATTGTATCAGAATCTAAGAAATAAATATACGTTTGAAAGACATATAGATATAGACATGATCAAATAGCCGTTACTCCAATAACAAGAGCTTCATCAGCTTAAAGATGAATTATAAAAATAAATATATATATACTCACGATTGCAATTTATATACGGGGTAGTCAGAGTCATTGTCTACTGGCGATAGATAATTTTAAGTCCACTTTTCGACGAGACATTTCAATATAACATGGCTGTGGATATCCTACCACCTAACAAGTCTATCAAATACAAACAGCTTTATTAGGTGTTAAAAATCACAAGGACAGTTCAGAATTAAAATATACACATAGTTTTCTGATGTTAAGCAGATTTGAACTCATATCCTTCATGAGATGGGGTAACTATCCACAACGCCATGTAGGCAATGTATGTATACTTAGTCTATTCTAGTCTACGTGCAATAACCCGTACATCCGTACGTCAGGACGGACCCATATTCATGCAACTTTAGCAAAACAACAAGGCATTATTATGCACGTATAACAATTACACGCGCACTTATAAAATTTATAATTAATTTTGGATATTCAATATAAATATATAATTATATATTATAAAATAATATAATTTTAAGTATAATAAACTATATTATCTTAAATTACATTATATTGTTATTTATACTGATGATAAATATGATAATGCTTATAATTTAACTTGTAAAATTTATAATTTGTTTTTTTACAAATGTTTAATAAATATATGTTGTCTTATGAACTCTTATTATCAAGAGTCGACGAAATGCTATTCAAATAATATAAATAGGGAGAATGCGATTTTTTTGTGGATGTGGAGAGCAAACTCCGGAATAACTACACCTATTTAAAAAATGTTTTCACTAATCGAGAAATGCAATAATATTTTATTAAGATGTAGTAGATGTTTGTATATTTTATTATTCATAGATTTATTATTATAAAAAATACATTTAAATAAACAAAATATACAAAGTAATACAGAAAGTATATATACCATAATTTGATATATAAACATAAAAATACAGACGTATATCGATAAGAATAAATCGATACAGTTTATTCGATTAATAATCGAGTTTATGTTTACATTAATCACTATATTATTATTTTGAAATATAATGTTATAATTTGGTATTACCATACTGATAATATCTTCACGCCTGATCCTTTAAAGGGTAAGCAGCACGAAGCAAGCACTATTGATATCTACCGTCGCATGCAAATAATTCTTCATTCACTTTCATGACTCGTTTCACACATTCGGCCCTGTTCCAAAAACTTCCATACTTATTATTTCTTAAGAATATACTTCAAATTCATTAGTCTTATAGACACATTCGAGTGACAATTTCGAGATACCCTCATATTCGATAAATAAAAAAAAACATAAAAAAATATTCTGTCATGACAGAAATTATAGATTTCTAATTTTGAATACCTGAATCACAATTTTGGTACATTTTCCAAAAGCGATAAAGTCGATTATCGTTTGGTATGAAATTAATTATATACAACAATAATTCATCACCTGATATCAGATAAAATTGATTATAGAAAAACATCGATATATACATGTATCGATAAAACGTTCTTCACTTAAATAAATCGTATTGTACATATAAATATATTTATTGCTCCATTTCTAGTGAGGTTAATTTCCTTATGAACTCGGACCGTTGGGACGGGGTGAGTTCCTGAAATAAACACAATGTTATATAAATAATATATTGATAAAATATTTCTTACGTACCTGGATTTTAAATGTAAACGACGCTCTGTCGGTTACTATGAAAGATGTAGAAAATATCACTCTCTACCCCTGTACATGAGACGCAATAATAATGTTATCTGTTATCTTATGACTATTGCGAGTGGAAGAGTTGATTACTCGGAGCTGCTATAAAAATAAACCTAAGAACTCATAGCCTCGATGACGACCTCGGTGGTCTAGCGGTCTAGCATACCGCTTTACGACCGATGGTCGCGGGTTCGATTCCTCGCACGGCACAAACATTTGTATTTATGAGTATGATTGTTTGTACCGGTCTGGTTATTTTCTATGTATAATATGTATTTGTTTACAAAAAAAATCTATGTATAAAGTATCAGATATCTAGTATTCATAACACAAGCTTTAGCTAGCTTAACTTGGGTCTAGATCGCGCTGTGTGAATTGTCCTGAGATTATTATTATTATTATAGCCTAAGACTTAGACAAAGAGCCATTTTAAGTGTCCCTGCAGTCAGGACCAGATACAGAAAGAACACTTTTGTTTTGCATATAAAGCCTTTAACCAAGTACCTCATGATATTGACCTGTATTGTTCCAGCACTGCTTCAGTTAGAAAATTCATATGTAACCAATTCAATTTTACAATATTAGTAAGATGATATTACCATGACGAGGGAGTTGACGGCCTGCAGGACGGAATCCTGTTTGATGGCGCGCAGGTTCCGTTCCAGCACTGAATCATCATCGGCCGCCTGAGCCTCCAGCCACTTGCACACTGCTTCGTTGTTATGCTCCCATTGATGAGACTGAAAACGAGAGGTGTATTAATTACTAAAGAATAAATAAACTCAGATCAATTCACACAGCGCTATCTAGACCCCAGTTAAGCTAGCTAAAGCTTGCGTTGTGGATACTCGATAACTGATACAAATACATAGACATTTATTTTCGTAAATACATAGATATGTCTGTCAAATGTAAATTCTTAATAATATACAATAATAATCTCAGGACAATTCACACAGCGCTATCTAGTGCCAAGTTAAGCTAGCTGAAGCTTATGTTATGGGTACTAGATAATTGATACAAATACATTTTATTATCATATATTCATAGAAAACACCCAGGCCGATACAATTATACACATGAATACAAATATTTGTACCGTGCGGGGACTCGAACCTGCAACCATCGAAAGTACCGCGGTGCTAAACCGGTATACCACAGAGACCGTCAAAAACAAAAACAATATTCGTGGAATATACATAATAATAAGTGATTATTTTTTATGAATAGTCTGGATATCTTACCACTGTCTCCCCAAGGTCTTCCGTGAACCATCTCCTCAAGGTGGCTGCAGCTGGACCCTGGTCCATCGCCCCGGCTGAACTGACGGCGTCCTGCACCCTCAGCTCCTGCTCGTTCTGGCGGAGTAGCCTCTTCAGACGCCAGTAGAATTGGCGACGGGAATCCCGCCATGGAACTATATCCTAAAATATTCATAGATAGTGGTTAATTTGTTCGTTTATAGTTATAAAATTAAATAATAATTCAATAATTCCAGTAGGACATTTTAGTCGCTAAATAAAACCTTGAGTTTCAACATTTTTATATTAATTAACTAGCTGTGCTCGCGGATACACCTGTACGTGTGAAATTTACAGCCTATATGTTATTCTGATGTATAAACTATGTTAAATGTAGTTTCATTAAAATCAGTAGTTTCTGCGTGACAGTAACAAACACCCAACTTACAAACTTCCGCATTTATATAACATTAGTAAGATTTCTCTACAGTTCAGTCTATTTCATCCAAGTTCGGTGGTGTATACATTCCATAGATAAGAACAGGCAAGAATCTCAACATATTTTTTTTAAAGCATACTAATTTCGTCTTCTAAGTCTAACATTAAATAACATGAGTGACCAGCCCCTATATCGCCACGGTTTTATTTGGTCGCAGATGGCCTTTACAACTTCACTGAACGATAAGGGGCAAGTGCAGATGACACTACAAACTAAAGGAAGGACTTATGAACTATTGTAACTTACAAATATGCAGCCCTTCTCGAGCATCCGTTCAGCGGTGTCGTGCAGCTCTGCGAACTGAACCGCGATCTCGTGGTATATTGGGCTCAGTTCCTTCTCGCGGCTCTTCACGTTCTTCTCCAATGTGAACAACTCCGCTTCCAGTTCGCGTACTTTGTCCTCCGCTACGAGATTTTATTAATGTATTTAAAATTTGCAATCACTATTTTTTTTTTTTATTTCAGTAGCTGAATATAACCCACAAGAGAGACTTGTGAGCCTACTTTGGATGACACCAAAAAAAACTATATATATTTACAACTAACACTGTTGATAAAAACACCAATAACAACATAAATGTATCGAAGAGGAAAATATAATAATAGATTCAAATTATTATCATCATCGTCATATCAGCCGGGAAGACGTCCCGATGTAAGCTCAAAGTCAGGTTAGTTGACCCATCTTGACAAAGTTCCCCCTTGAAAACATCATGTTAAATCCTCCTGAATTAGCCACGATGGGTTAACTGACCTGACCTCATACTCAACTTATCAACCTCCACTGGCAGGGCCAGCGTATACTGGTAATGCAGACGTGTGCACCATTCTATTATCATCCATTAAAAAAATGCTCTTGAAGTGATATTATTAGAATTATTTATTTTTTTATTAATTTCAATATTCTAACACCATTACAGTATATCCAAATGAATTAAGGATGAGATACCTTGTCGGCCGGTGTCCGTCTTCACAAGGACATCGTCGATGGATCCTCGCCTGTCTAGATTCTTAGATATATCTTTGATTTGCTCCTTCAGTTCTGGAAAACAGAAGTAGATATTATTTATTTATTTATTAAAAGTTTTATGCACAAATACATAAATACCGGTGCACATGGCGGACTTAACACCTAGAGGCATTTTGTCCCAGTCAACCATTGACAAACAGAGATTCATGTGGGCGGTGCTTTATCTGAAATCTTATCTATTACTAGCTGTCCCGGCTCACGTTGTTTTGACTTAAAATAATAAAAAAATTTAGGGGTGGACTACCCCTAACATTTAGGAGGATGAAAAATAGATGTTGGCCGATTCTCAGACCTACTCAATACGCTCACAAAATTTCATGAGAATCGGTCAAGCCGTTTCGGAGGAGTATGGGAACGAAAACTGTGACACGAGAATTTTATATATAAGATTATTATCTTAAATTTGAAATGTGTATGTAAATGAAAGAAATATAACTTTAATGTGATTAAATGTAAATAAAATCAAAATACTGCTGGCTGCTTTTTACGTTTTATAGTTCACTGGATGATAGAGGGCGAATGCAGATGGCATTCCAAACCAGCGGACTTATGCAGCAGCTGAACTTTAGTCTGAGGGCAGCGTTAGGGTTTTTTTTTATGGATGATAATGGGATGGTAGTCACGCCTGCGCTAACGGTTTACGCGGCACGGCACGCGGGTTTACGGGGCACCAATGGAGGATGATAAGATGAGCATGAGGTCAGGTCAGTAGGTCAGTTAGCCCATCGTGATAAATTCACCATGAATTTATCATGATGGTTTCCAGGGGGCACCGCGTGGAGGTACATTACTAGTAATGGGTTCATGAGTCCTCATTACTAACAATCCCCTTCCGCCCCAGCGCTAGGGGTTCGTAATTTCGATCCCTATTTGAATTGGACGGGAATAGGTGACGTACCTGATACTCTAGCACCCAACCGCAGCAGCTCCGGGTCTAGTCGGTGCATGGTCTTCAATATATCCCGCTGCTTGAACTTCACCTCTACAATACCTTCCGCTTCTAGTACACCCCCTCTGTAATACAAAAATATGTGCACATTTTTAATAAAACCTTGACAACCTCGGTGATGTCGCTGTTTCGCACTATGCCTTATTTCGATGGTGGTGGGTTCGATTCCTCGCATGTGTAAGAAGCACTAATTATGACGGACGACTGAGGCTTTGAAGCCGGCTACCGCAAGGGAAACCCCAAGTAGCGCCTGTGACTTGTGACACGGGTGTAGGTTTAAAAGGCTCTTTTAGAATGCATTAACACTCACCTTCACTACTTGCAGGTTTCCCCCCAGGCCCAACTAAGACCGGGATAAACCCATTTCTAATACAATTCAATTTTGTATCCAAAACACAACTGGTACGCTCTGCGCTCGTCGACTGAATGCCGCGGCTCACGCAACGAAAGAGGATTATTCAACTACCGACCTCTGTATTTATAGACCAAAGTCAGTGTAGTTGGTTAGTCTATAAATACTAGATGGCGCTATTTACAATATTCGTAATAATCCTTACATTGGGTACTTCATTAGTACTAAAAACAAACTACCTTCTTTTAATATATTTTTAAAATATCGGATTTTTTCTACAATAATGATGTGAATTCTAACACATGGTACAAGCATTTGATCACCGTTAGAGAAGATCGTATAGTCGTTTCGGCCCTGATTTTTTTGTAATCTCACACATGCTAATTGTAGCGGAATTAAAATAATACAAATACGTTAAGTAGCACCTACAATTTATCACGGTAGTTTCCAGGGGAGACTTTACAAAACACGTCATTTATTCTATGACCTTTGTTACTTGTACTTGATAAATAAAGAATTATAATTGTGAGTAGCTTTGACGTGGTCTAGTGTTTTGAGTAGTCATGCTCACTAAAATGTCCAGACTTGTGACGGCGTGGTGGGCCGGGTCATTGGGCTCCCTAAAATATGGTCGAGCGCAGTGATGGCTGGCTCATCCGTCATACTCGTGAACGGGTGCTGCTTGTAGGGACTGGTCTGCTCTAATCACTATGACTGATTTCCTCTTATTAATTGTTTAACCAGTTGGTTATGTATTCAATATTTTTTCTTTTTGAGTATTTAATTGAATTAGTGCTAATTGGTGGTTTGTATTCACACACTTAAACTTAAAAATGTAAAGTAATAATAAAATTATTTAAAAGAGCAACACGCAAGTTAATGCTCGTTCTTCTTGTGACGAGACAGCTTTCGGAACGAGCGGTAGATTAAAAAAAATGTAATGACTATTCAAAAGTGCTTCAATGTAAGTTTATTTGAATAAATGATTTTCTATTCTATTCTATTCTATTCTATAATTAGCCGCCGGCCGTAGCTCTGTCAGTACCTGGCGTCGGGGTCGGCGTACATCTCCATGCGGCGACTGTTGACGCTGGGGTCGACGACTGCCCACGCTCCGCCGCGCAGCTCCCCGCCCGGCGGGATGTACACCAGCACGGGCGCACGAGATGCTCGTAACGCGCGTACTATCTCCGCGCCGAACTTCAGGATCTGCTCGTACATGTCTGTGAATATTGTCATATTATTTAATACCAAATAGCAGGCAACAATGCGAAACACTATCCCAAACTATGACCCCACCTATTGTCCTGTTCTTTGAGCCCATCATCAAACAAAGGAAGATCTAAAAAATACGACCAAATGCGCACAAGTCGTCGCAACATTCTGGGGTTTCTATTGCACTCTTCCTTTCGCCCAGTGAAGCTATAAAGGTCAGCTACGATCAACAGCATTAGAGTGGTTCGAAAATTGTATATATATTAAATTTTATATTATATATATATATATGTATTTTACTTTAACCGTCTTAGTGCCAAGGCGCGCGTTCATGCGTCTGCGCGTTTTATCTAAAAGTGCTATATGCGCGGTAGCGACTCACGTGTCAGTGTATTTTTGAGTTCCGGCCGCTATTTTGAAAATTATATTTCCAAAAGTTACACATTATTTTCTCTTACTCCAAAATTTCACAAAAAAAGAGGGTAATTATTCTTGGCATTTTTCACATACATTGCGAAAAAATGTATGGCACTAAGACGGTTAAATATATAAATGAGAAAAAAACGATGTTATTTCCACATTTATTATACACTGCCAACAACTTTTCAATTCACTATTGGTGATCAAATTCCAACCGTTACCAGTCTACACCTATATTGCGACACGAGTTTCGCCTTGAAACGAGGCATCATCGGGCATTAAATAGAGTTGGGATATAGCTTGTAACCCTGTGTTGAGAGCTTATTTTTAAACTTTCGCGTTTAGTACGAATTATTAATATAGTTAAAAGGTTTTAACAGGAATAACATTATTACATGCGTACACTTAATGTCTCGGATCTGATATTTCGTCAAACAATCTAATGACGGTAGTTGAAGAAACTGCTGGCACTATTAAAATTTGTATTCTCTGTTTCTCCAGTCAGCTCGTGACCACGGCTAGTGCAACCTAGTCGAAACGTCCTTTATAGGCAACAAAATTATTCGTGTAAAATCCCAGTTAACTATATTAATAACCATTGTGGACTGTCGGCGACCAAACTGCATGTAGCTCGTAATGCTTCCAATAGTAACGGTCAGATTTCCGCACTGAATATTTGTGGTCGCACATGCTAATAATATAAGGTAACGGTTACCTTTCTGTCCACCACTGAAGCCTCGCCAATTTGCGAAGATCATGATCGGCAGTCCTTCGCGAGAGAAGTCGTTGATGGCTTGAGACGTCTTGTATGCAGAGTCAGGGAACCACACCTGATGAAGAAACAATTCAAATCTGTACTTAACAACGCCTACATTAGCTGTTAACTAGCGACCCGCCTGGCTTTGTATGTATTCAATTATTATAGTATTTCTGGTCTTAGTTTTAAGCAAATAAAATACTGCCGATGAAAATATTTCTTCTTTATTAAAACACTAACTACCCACCCTGCTTCGCGTAGGTGTACATGTATTGTACATACAAACCTTGCTATGGGGTTTTTCGTTTTTCGTTCTCTTTGTCTACATTTACACACACACTCATTCCTGCGTGCTAGTGAGCAAGAAGACCCTTTTTTTTAATCGGACTACTATAATGTTGTTGGCCGCAGCTGGCCTTTACAGTTTCACCGGACGATAGGGGCGAGTAAAGATGACAAACTAAAGGGTCCTTCTTCCTTTGATTATGAAGCGGCCGAAGGCCCACTCCCGCCTGATGGATATGACTTTAATGTGAGCCCTCACACCGCTAGGGATTCGAACTTCGGTTCAAGCCGTCGTAAATTCGATCCCCTTTTAAATTGGACGCGGAATCGATCGGAGGAGGACAAGCAACTTGAGTGTTGCTCTTTTAAATAAAGACAAGTTTTTACTGTGTACCTGTGGTACAACTAGACAGTGGCAGGGTAGTGAGTGTACGCACCTGGCCCGCCTGCTGCAGGGTCTTGGCCTCGGAGTCGAGGTTGGCGGGGTCGGCGGGCAGCGTCAGCTCCACCGTGCGCGTCTCCACCGCCACCACCCCCACGGGGATGCCCCCCAGCCGCGCGCGACCTAACCCACATGACAAACTCAAGTTTAGACATAATACCAGGGCATCTGAGTGCACCATTCCATTATCATCCACAAACAATCTTATAATAATATTATAAAAGCGGGAGTTTGTGAATATGGATCCATCCAGTTGGATGTTTGTAATTGGTTATAATGAAACCTCACATTAATATAGCTTGTACCTCAGGGAGAATAAAGATAAGGAATAAAATCAAGGACTTTTCACTCTCATTCAAAACTATCGGTACCTGAATGGTTTTTAGATAGGGTCGGAGTTGTCACCTGTAATAACGGTCTGAGCCCAAGGCTTCATGATCTCGTCGAAGCTGCCGCGGTCGAAGAATCCAGGCCTTGCAGCATCCCCTGTCAGCAGCAGGCGAGGGTCGTGCGCCGCGCGAGGGGGCCGCCACTCCACCGGTCTGTCCACGGGGTCGCCACTACGCATCATGGGAACGATGCTCAGCTTATTCTGTTTACAATAAAAACATAACTAATTAGGTACATCCTATTCGAAATGACGTCATATGTAGCGATTACCAATTACTATTCATCTGGTTTTTTTATATCCGAGACAATTTGGCATTACCTATGTTGCCAGGTTAATGTGTTTCTAAAATAAATATAGATTTATTTCAATGACATATATTTCACTAAAACAAAGACTAACTTCTTCTGTTACAAAATAAACGTTCTTTGAATGATATGAAATTTCATAGAACATACACTTATATATTCAGCTGTTTGAAAGAAAAAAATGGATGATTTGTATTTTGATACCGTAAAAATTACTATATGTAGAGAAATCACTGTAGGACAGCCAGCGGACGGCGGTGGCGATGGCCTCCAGGTCGGAGGGTGGACTGCTGCGGGGGACGGTACCTTGGGCACGTAGGACAGCCAGCGGACGGCGGTGGCGATGGCCTCCAGGTCGGAGGGTGGACTGCTGCGGGGGACGGTACCTTGGGCACGTAGGACAGCCAGCGGACGGCGGTGGCGATGGCCCCCAGGTCGGAGGGTGGACTGCTGCGGGGGACGGTACCTTGGGCACGTAGGACAGCCAGCGGACGGCGGTGGCGATGGCCTCCAGGTCGGAGGGTGGACTGCTGCGGGGGACGGTACCTTGGGCACGTAGGACAGCCAGCGGACGGCGGTGGCGATGGCCTCCAGGTCGGAGGGTGGACTGCTGCGGGGGACGGTACCTTGGGCACGTAGGACAGCCAGCGGACGGCGGTGGCGATGGCCTCCAGGTCGGAGGGTGCGACTGCGTGTGAGACGCCGTTGTTGTGCATGATCTGTGCGCCGCCCAGCTGGTTGTTGGAGGCGTACACGGCGCGGCCCAGCACTTTGTTGAGGGCGGCGTACCCCGTCAGGATTATGTACGACGACTCCACCTGGATCACGCGGTGCCCCAGTCTGCGAACACACCGACCACGTTAACATAATCCAACAATGATATCATCTACACCAGAATACTTTTACCGCCGAGGTTCGAACCCCTAGCGGTGCCCTCAGATTACAGTAGTATCGCAATGAATTGGCCTTCAGCCTCTCCATAAGTCCTTCCTCAGGTTTTCTTATTCGGGCTTCCTGTAAAGGCCAGCTCAGGCCAACATTACAGTAATCCGAAAAATTAAAAACAAGCTGTCAGTTAGCTGTATTGCGAAAAAGGTTTGTGATGTTAGAATAGAATAGAAAGGCCAGCTGCGGCCATTAGAGTCCGAAAAAATAAAAAAAAACAGCGCGCAGCTGTACTGCGAAAAAGTTTTGTGAAGCTGCTAATAGAATAGATGTTTTTCATCATTGGTAGGAGTGATAGATACCGGTAGTGCGCCCTGACCTGACGACATAGGAGCCGATGCCGATGGCGCGGCAGGTGACCACGGAGATGGTGACGACGTCCTCGTAGGCCTGCGCCGTCTCGCCGGCGATCAGCCCCGCGTCGCGCAGGCACTCCACGCCCAGGCCGTCCTCCTTGCCTGAAGAATTAAACATACATTTACTAACATAGTAAGAGATCAGGTTCAGAATTTTGTATAGATCTAGACAGTCTTCTTTGTCCGAATGATTAAATACATAATAAATTATAGAAATTAGATTTACCATTTTATATAGCTCTGAATTCTAATCTAGCGCTAGCTGACTTGATTAAAATAATATAATTATAGATATCTTCCATTAAACACTGCTCCACAGTTCCGGGATCAGTTAGCTAGGGGTAGGCATAGAGGTTTAGCACACCGCTTTACTTCTGATAATATCTGCAGATATACTTCGTACCAAGTCTTCTCCGTTATGTAGCTTGCTCTGTAAGTCATATTTCAATTGAAGGGTGAGATGTGGCAATAATTATTATGGACAGGGTATGGACGCCTGATATCTTAGTCTGAATGGCAATGCATGCCCATGTATTGTCATTCAAAATCAAGATCAAAGTGGGTGTCACTTGATTATTTGGCGAACTGACCCGTGAACCCTTAATACTGTAAGCATTTCCCATTCCAATGCTATGAAAAAAAACCAAACTAACCAATAATATCGGTGATCTTATATCTGGACTCGCCCTCGTCGTCGATCAGCTCAGTCTTGACGGACCCCAGAGGTCCCAGCTTGGAGTAGGACTCCGGCGTGAGGTACAGGTACTTGAAGCCGCGTTCAGGTCTCTCCGCGTCCACCCACGCCACGTTGAACTCCGATTTGACCTCCTCAGCGACTCCGATGCGGGCGCCTGAGTTCACGCTTATGTATACCTACGAAGAGTTTACTTATAGATTAATTTTCTGCTTCTTCTTTCGTTTCAATGACAACTAACAGAATAGTGGCTAATTGTGATGAGACAGCTTCCCGAGTGAGCGGTGGATTAAAAGAATAATAACTATGACTATTCAAAAGCGCTTTAATGAAGTATTTGAATAAATGATATATTCTTGAACAAATCATGAAAATTGACTGTATTACGATATTTTATTATTTAACTATCTTTTATTATCTATCTATATACTTATTATCTATCTTTTATTTATTAACGGAAAACCAAGGCTATACACATATTGACTCAATAAAAGTACACTAAACCACTGACAGGCATTTACAAAGAACAACAGATTAATTGTTTTGTTAAATTCGACATCACATATAAAGAAAATACAAATCGAGATTATAAAATTAGAATAATTACAAGAGTACAATAACAAGTAATAAATCTATATATATGTAACTCAAAGGTGACTGACATAGTGATCTATTAACGCACAGCCCAAACCACTGGACGGATAGGGCTGCAATTTAGCATGCTGGTAGATGTTATGACGTAGGCATCTGCTAAGAATTTGATTAATTCTACCCCCAAATAAATAGGGCGGATAAAATAGGGGATGAAAGTTTGTATGAAACTTTGTAAATTTTAAACCGATCGGGCTGAGACTTTGCATGCTAAAGCTACTAAAACGTAGGCATCCCCTAAGGAAGGATTTTGATAAATTTCACCCCTAAGGGGATAAAATAGGGGATGAAAGTACTGTAAAGCCGCAAAAACTATACATCATTAATAATAATACTTCTTAACGCGAGCGAAACCGTGGGCAAAAGCTAGTCTAAGATAAGATCAGATCTGAGGACATGCAAGTTTGTGTAGATAGAGTCGCGGATAACAGCGGTTATGGTTATTATAGTTTTATTTTATGTGTATATAGGAAAAAAGACTTAGAATACAGAGACATATATTAGGAACGATTATCAAGACATTGAAGTATAAACAAGGATGTAGAATAAATGAACTAAGAACTAGAAATTTTAATACAAATTTAGAATAAGAAATACATTTCTGATTAGTCAGTACAGTATACAATGATGCTTATAATTCAGGCATAGTATATATAAGTATATTCAAATAGGACTTACCCTTGGTATCCTGAGTTCTCTCGCATACTGCGACGCCTTGTAGTAGACCAGATCCTCTTGAGGGCCAAACGACCCCATGTAGTATGTGAGATCGTTCGCTATGAGGATGATGTCACGACCGTCGGGGCACTCCGGCGTGAATAGGGTCAAACGCCACGCTACCATGCCCACCTGTTCAAAAATCAGATTTGTTTTATTGCTCAGGTACGTTTTACATAATGATATCTGTATGGGTATCTATTAAGCGGCCAAGAAGTATGTGTGAAGTAAGTTTGAGATGACAATAGCTACATTTACAGGTACACTCTCACGCTCGAATCGGCTTTCAAACAAAAGTGTGCATGTAAAGAGAACAAGACGAAAAAGGACGCGCGTGATACGCCCGCTCGTGGAATCCCGCGTACTCCAATCGTGCGTGCTTGCACGCGTTTTTGCATAATTATCTCTGCAAAATAGTGGATATGAGGATATCTAATTACAGATTTGTTAATAATTTATAAATCTTAGACATGTCTACTGAAAATAAAATCAAATAAAACAATGCATAAACGATACGGACGATATCGCGCACGAAATAGTGAACGTAAAAAAAACTGAAAGAGTTATGTATGGAAGTGTCGTCATTTTTGAGGATGAAACGATGAAACTTTTTCATTTAGCTTTTATTGGGTTAGGTCATTAAATATTTTTTTCATTATTTGGTCAAGGCCACTATTTTCGCGGACGAAGTCGCGGGTACAGCTAGTACAAAATAAATAAATCACAATATAAACTCACGGTATTCTGTCCAGGTAGTCGGGTCACCTCGACCACCCGTCTCTCCCCGTCTGGTTCTATCACTAACTCCACTGATGACATCACGTTATCAGGCTGTGGACCTGTACATGGTTAAAAACAATCATTATATTATTAATATTAAAATGTAAGGGTACTATTTAAAGGTTGTCTGGAAGAGATTGCAAAGCGATAAGACCGCCTTTTATACCTTATGATTCCTGAAGAGTCACTAAGATTTAAACAATACCTTGATCTTATTCCAACGGTTCATGTGTCCGTTGGTCCGTCGTGATGTTTGTCACAATATTATCTTCTAGAAACTTATACTATATATAATATAACTTATACAATATATACTTAATATTATGGATTTAAAATTTTCAATAGTCTTAGATTCTGTTGGGCCAATCATATTGGAATTAAAATATATATACACGTCTATATTTTCTTTGTATGGGGTCATAAAATTTAAATTAGTCCTACTAGTTTTAATAGAGTATAATTTGGTTAGTTCCAAACCGATTTTCTTACTCTCATTCGTATTAACTAATCAACGGAAATTAAAAAAAATCATTAAAGTTTGAGATCTATTATTTCCGCAGTATGTGAAGAAAATTCTCAAATACTTAATTGTAATAAATAATAATAATAATAGTAACTGTATAAGATGGTAGTTACCGTCGATGCTGCCATCCTCGATGCAGTCCCGCCAGCGTCGCTCCACCGTCTGCCGGAACATATCCGGGATATCGTACACGTATGTGGTTCCTTGTGACGTAGCCTATGTACAAAACAAAATCAAATCAAATCAAAACAGAACAGTGCTTATAGTTTATCAATATTGGAATCATTTCGCAAAAACAGAAGAAATAAAATGTTGGACTTTGACGGCTTCCGTTATCTAGCGGTTGAGCAACCTACCTAAGCTATTGATTCATCGCACGGTACTAATATATGTATTCCTGAGTATGATTGTTTGTATTGATCTGGGTATTTTCTATGTATACAGTTGTCTAGAACCCATAACACAAACTCTGCTTAGCTTTGGACTAGATGATGATGCTGTGTGAGTTCTATTCGGTATTTAAATATATATATATAAATATATATTTATTTATTTATTTATTTATTTTAGGTAATCAACAGCTTATACAATTTATAGACAATATATAGTATTACTTAGTTAGTAAAGCCAATAACAGATACCTCATGAATTTATCTTTAATATTAAAGTTATATTTAAATTGGTTATATAAAACAATACAGTTACACACTTAAACATTTAAACAGGTCAGAACCAATATAAATATATATATATATATATGCCAAGCATCGACCATCAGCTTGGATGACTGACTGTAGTAATATAGAAATGTTAGACTTACCAAAAATCTCTTCTGTTGCAAGTAATCTTTGGTGACATACGGCGTTGATATCGGCAGTCCATGCATAGGACCCTGCCGCGGACCGTACGAATGGAACATTATCTGCAAAATACAATAATAATAATAATAATAATACACAGTAAAAACCCAGCAAAAGCTGCGAAAACAAAATATATCACAAGTATTTAGTACAAAGTGTCACTTATTATTACTTACCACTCCGGTGTTGGGATCTGATACCTCTTCGTAAGTATACACGTCGAGCGAGTACCCAGAACCGTTAGACAGGCACAGCCGTACATTCTTCGTCGGCGCTCCGGGGCCTACATACAAAAAGTAAAACTTACATACATATCAAACAAATATATAGCATACCATAAAAACTTGTCTCGTTTGATTTATCTAAGACTAGGCTAGACTATGGGTCTCGCTTCGTATGCGTGTACATTTCTAGACCGCCATCTATGGACGGTGATCAAACGCAATACTAAATAAAACATCGAAATAATTGTCTATTATTTGATTAAATAATCCCACTAAAATACTGCAAACAAATGCACCTCATCTTTTATCACTATTCCTATCGTGCGTTCGTTCGTTCATTATGAATTAACTTACAGTAACTACTTGTAGGTGGTAATTCTTTTTTACGTAATACAAACAGACATTACGATTTTATTATAGGTAAAGATATATGCTAAAACTGTCAAAGAAAGAAAAGTATATTCCCTTAACAAGAACATTCTCTTCATGACATTTCTTTCGGACTACTCTAATGCTGTTGGCCGCAGCAGACTTTACAGCTTTGGATGATAGGGGGCGAATGCAGATGGCACTCCAAACCCGCAGAAGGACTTAAGGAGCGCCTGAAGGCAAAGTCCCGCCTGGCGGATACGACTTCAGTCTGAGAGCACCCCGCCAGGGGTTCGAACCTCGGCTCAGGCCGTAATTTCGAATCCCGTTTCGTTCGGACGGAGGATCGATCGGAAAAATGTACAATGTGTTAAAACATATAGAGCCATCGCGTTGTAGAATTCAAACATAAACGTGTTAGCGACATCTAGTTTACTTTTAAGAACTATTATGTACTACGAACTAAATATTAACGTAAACAGTGAGAAACTCACCAATCCTGAGTGTGAATCGTATCTCGGCCTGCAGCACCCTCAGTTTCCAGAGGCGAGGTCCGTACCTCATCACCATACCGAGAACAGACTCTTCAATCTGCGAATATAAAGGAAAAATATTACAAAATTAAAAAAAACTGGATTACTCAAACAAAAAATCTTTATTCTAATTGTTTTTTGTTTGAATGCGCTAATTCCAGGAACTGCTAATTTGAGTTAAAATTCTTTAGTATTAATGATAGATTATGAAAAATAATCCTTTTGAGAACTTCCTTTCAATAATGTAATGCAGACAAAGTTCCACGGTTGAGCTAGTGATAACAAATTAGAAAGTACTACTTTTAGCCTAATTAATGTAGACAAAGTCACAGGTTATAGGAAGTAGGCGTTAGAAGTGTGTACTTACTTTAGAGGGGTCCATGATGACCGTGGGTCCGAAGTTGAGGAATATATGGTTGCAATCTGTACGCTTCGCTAGCGGATGGGAGAATGCCACTTCGAGTTCGTCCATAGCTTCCAACAGTACCCTGCAACATTAATCAAAACATAGCAACTACATAATCACGATAATAAAAACAAAAAACAAACTTATCCCATAGGTTAAGCATGTTTTTTTTCTATACCACGTAGGTGGCAAAAAAGCATACGGCCCATCTGTTGGTAAACAGTTACTGTAGCCTATAGACGCCTGAAACACTAGGAGTGTCACGTGCACGTTGCCGACCCTTAAGAAACCTTAATACACCCTTCTTGAAAAACACCATGCTGTAGTCTCATTCAATCTAACGCAGGTAGTTCATTCCACAATATAATCTTATGTTTCATATTTCATTTCCCTAACTAATATTAAAGGGAGGAAATATTTATGATATTTTGAACTTAATATAGACAGCTATTTAGTAATATTCATATGTGAAGCAAAACATTATACATTAGTTTGATTAATATTAAATAAATTTTGATTAATAAAATTTACGGGCTTTCTGTAAAGAGAGCATATAATTAAATCTACATAAAGCTGCAAACAGAAAACTCCTTAACATTAGTTTATTAAATAAAATGACTTATCTCATACAAGTGATATGACTGACCTTTCCCCTTCGTTTTGAAGATATTCAAAACTGGCCTCCTTGGTAATAAGGTCTTGGTGTCTGATGATGGATCGGATGAAGAAGCGGTAGTCTGTAACTTCTTGGCCTTTCTTCACCTAAATATTTAAAAAAAAATGATTAGAATAGAATAGAAAATCATTTATTCAAATAAACTTACATTGAAGCACTTTTGAATAGTCATTACATTTTTTAATCTACCGCTCGTTCGGAAAGCTGTCTCATCACAAGAAGAACGAGCAAGAAACTTGCGTGTTATGTTATCAATGTTTCAATATGTCAATGTTATCAATGGATCAATATCTTCAAGATATAAAACCATTTATTAGATAAAAACCCATTTGCATTTTACATTGGGTATATATTATTTTGTTTAATTCGGCTACAATTAGCATATGATCACAAATACTCACTGCGGAAACTTGACTACAGTTACGACTTTTTATGATCAAATGCTGACATTATTCAAATTCAAAATATCTTTATTCATGTAGGTCTATTACAGACTCTTATGATATGTCAGATGTACATATCATAAGTCTGTAATAGACCTACCTACCTATATCTCGTATTTTTTAATAATTAATGTCTGCACTAACATTGCGACACTTGTTTCGCCTCTGAACGAAGCATCATTAGGCATTGAATGGAGTTCGAATATAGCTTAGAAGCATAGTGTTGACTGTACTGCGAAAAACTATAACGCGAAGTCAAACAGTCAAGACTAGACTTTTAAGCTATATCCGAAATCTTTTTTCTCTGAGGATGTAAATTCTATCTATCTATCTGACCCGTCATTACCTGAAAAAGAAAGTATCTTACCTTCGCTTTCCCCAAATACAAATGCATCTTCTGGTTGCTGGTCGGCAACGCTTCCAGGTCATAACTCCTCATCCTGTACAGCTCCAGCTGGAATGCGGACGCCGGTTCTAGATGTCGGTAGATGGTGTCCTCTGTGAAGTCGTTACGTGCCCGGTATGTGAAGAACTTGGGGAATTGTCGCCTGCAATATATTTCATTCATATATCTTTCTAATATTATAAACGCGAAAGTTTGTGAGTATGGATGGATGAATGTTTGTTACGCTTTCACGGAACGGATTTTGATGAAACTTTATAGTATAGTTTATAGCTTATATATCAGAATAACACACGTTGTAAACTTCGCTAACGCGAATAAAACCAATTTATATTAACTAACAAATTACAATTCTTTGTTTCTACATTCGATCGCTACGTATGTATAATTTATTTTTCCTAGGGTAACTGACTGTAATCTTCAAATATCATAGACAAAATTTGTGCATTTGAGATTGTATTGTAAAAGGGCCAAATAAAGGGCAAAATTAAAACATTGGAGGCCAAAAGTCGTAATGTTGTTCGTGTAGTTACTGTAGAACGTGAACTAACTTGATGAGCGATATGACAGTAATCCTTTATATCCGCTTGAATTCTGGCAGAATTTTCCGGAGCGGCGGAACGCCGTACCGTCGTCACTCTCAGTGAGAGTGGCGTGTACCAGGGAGAGAGTGAGAGTGAGAGAGCGGGCGTGTACTGACTTGATGAGCGACATGAAGGTGATCCTGCGGATCCGCTTGTGGTGCAGCTCGTGGCGGTGCGCGCGGCAGAAGTTGCCGAAGCGGCGGGACACCGCGCCGTCGTCGCTCTCCCCGCTGTCTCGTACGCCGATCATCAGGATGTGGATCGGCTCCAGCGGCTGACATACACACATACAACAATAATATCCTCGGATAATTCACACAACGTCATACAGCGCCAAGCTAAGCAGAGCTTGTATTATGGCTACTATACATATTACTAATATTATAAACGCGAAAGTTTGTGTGTATGGATGGATCTTTGTTACTCTTTCACGCAAAAACTTTTCTTTTATTGTGTCATTGATAATCAAATAGAGATACTGCCTGTACCATCGATATACGTTGGAATAAAATAAACAATCAATAAAATAGTTGAAACCATAGTTGATAATTCTATTTAGAATTAAGCACGTCCATATCCAATACTTATTTCTGCCCAACAAGATATAGCAACGGGTACAATGGAAATAAAATAATTTTTAACAATCTCTATATATTTTCTCCGTGCCGTTATATACTCACAACATCATCAGCGTCAGGGATCTTGTAGTCGTGGCCCATATTGATGCTCGTGCTGTCCCGACTCTCGCTGCCCTCCTGTAGTACTTGCAAGTCCTAGAAAAAAAGATGGATTACTTAAAGGGCCAAATGATGGACAGTAAGTTAGCTAGATGGAAAGATGGGTAGGAAGTTGCAGAAGTAGGTAATAATTTGTTCTAACTAACAATGCAACGAAAACTACTACCTTTAAAAAGTTGAATCATACGCATCTACGTCTCTATCATCAAAACATTTTTAACAATTTCTTCTTAATGACACCATGCAAAGCCACGGCAAAGTCACAATAATACTTGACTGATTTTAAAAAATCCTTTCACTCATAGCTTACATTATCAAAGAATAACTAATAAAAATAGCTGTTCTTAAAAGGTAGAGATCCCTAATTGGTTAATAGAACGGTTACATACTTCTCTTCTGACCGAAGCAGAGCTGGCGAAGTCGTGAACGAGATCCAACAGTTCGTCGGCGTACTGCACGAACTGATCAAACGATGTGAACGCTGCCAGCGCCCCAGTTCGATGATGACACTTCCTCATTGCCGCTGTACAAAGCTCCGCCGGTATACCCTCCTGGTCCTGTGCCGCGGACAGCTCGATTTCCGACTGGCTGATTGGAATCCTGATAACGGAAATATATTTCGATTCAATGAGCGAAAGAACGAATGAAGAGTAACAAATTGGATGAGTCAATTATTCGTTCACTAATTCAATCACACAGTGAACGAATGACTTCTTTTATAGATGAGGCAATACTTAAGTGAAAGAATAGGTTTATTACTTTATGAAGGAAATAGTTATTAAATTGTTATACTTGCGGTAACATACTAATGAAAGCAATATTTACATACTAAAATAGTTACTTATTAAACACAAATAACAAGAATGCACAGACTAGTTAGAAATTACAAAATTTTATATAAAGTAAAAAGGTACTTTATATAAAATTTTAAGGTAGGTATATTACCGAATGTGACCTTAGTTTGAGTTAGAATTTCCAGCACATTGTTTCATGACTTTTAAATAAAATTAGCAAGCAGACAGTAACATAAGTTATCTGGAATACTAAAGTGTTAGATTTACCTGTTGGGGTGTCCGGTGGGTAGCACGAACTGGAAGTGAACGACGCCCAGCTCCCCAGACAACGCCAGGTGTTGAAGGCAAGCAATGTCGTAAGACGTGTACGCGCGACGCACGTATACCTCCAGAGCCGCATTGCATACCTGAGTAACATCACTTAGATATATAATTTTGTAGAAATAATGTGATTAGAATATTTTTAGGATTCAACTTAATAGCGTTCAATTATATAATTGAACACTATTAAGTATTAAAAATATATAATATATTTGTATTATTTCGTTACCACTTACCGCAGCATTTGTGTGATAAAAGAAATCGTGAAGTATATCAAATATGGACGTTTCAGATAGTATTAACTTCTGCAAGTTCTCCGGATGGAAATCGTGGCCGTACATGTCCACTGCCGACAAGAATATCGACTCCATTTGATTGTGACGGAGTTCATACGCGGGCTGATGGGCGGCGATTAGGACCTGTCAAGAGAACATATTCAATTAAATGAACAATTACTACTTTATATACAAGAGATTAGCTGCCTTTACAAGTACGCTCTTTCACGCGCAAATCGGATATTTTATAGGAAAGGTTGTGCATATAAATGTAGATAAATAGAATGAGAAAGAGAGCGCGAGAGTTCTTCAATCGTGCGTGCTTTAGCGCCTTTTATTAATTATCACTTCAAAATGGCGGACCTCTGACTCTGCAGCAAAGATATAATTACAGAGTTATGGCAAAAAAGTATTTTTGGAAAATAATATTTATAATTCATTCATTCATTCATTCATAATTTAAGAGCTACGCTCTTGTCGGTGGAGCTCTTGCCAATATTTATAATAGAATACTTGAAATTACAATTTTAAAAGTAAATAAAATGACATGAAACGTGAAGAATGAAGTGAAAACAGAATATAGTAAAATGCAGTCACGTTTGCGCGTGCTAGCCTTAATGCGCTAAATCACGTGCACTTCTGATCGCGCGTGAAAACGTGTAAAGGCAGGTTTTTTAATTGAAGAAGTCAAGTCGTCAAGTTCACATTACGTATCGAGAGAATCTACTAGAATACTTGTTGCAAAATAATGTTGCGTTTCATATATATGTTTTAAGAATCATTCTAATCATCATTAAATTCTTCTAATAATACTCATTTTAACATTTCCACATAAAACAATTAAAATAGAAGATAACAGAAAATCCTTTATTCAAATAAACTTAATTTAAGCACTTTTGAATAGTCATAGTTATAATTTTTTCTAATCTACGGCTCATTCGGAAAACTCTCTCAACATAAAGAAGAATGAGCAAGAAACTTGCGTATTGCTCTTTTAAATAATCGTTAACTTTATATTTTTATGTCGAAACGTGTTTATACAAAACAAAACTAGCAATTTTATTACGGTTAAATATTATATTAAATACACAATAAAGTTAAATCAGTCGTAGTGATTAGAGCAGACCAGTTCCTACAAGCAGAGTTTGTCTTCCGTAATGTTTCTCGTCGCTCAAATACTAACATACCTGTCTCGCTCTAAGCGCGACCCTGCTGTGCTCGGCTCTGTGTAGCGACGTAAGCTCGTTGAGGGTGGTAGCCAGCTCGTCGGTCAGTCCAGGCTCGTTGGACCATAGGTGATCGATCAGGAGCGTCACCTGAAGAGAAAATGTACGTGTTATTGGACTTCATGTACTGTAGCTATCTTTTGACTATCAAACCGTACTATTTTAACAAGTAAAGTAAATTATAATTAGTAATTAAACCTTATACTTCACAAGTAAAGTAGAATTAGTAATTAAACCATAATAATTTTGGCATAGGGTTTTATTTTGAGTGTAGCTTTTGATATTCGGGATTTGTTCCCTTAGTCGGTTCTTACGGCATCCTGGTTTATGGAAATTATTCAATAAATAGCAAATGATTTTACGATTGAGTTTATGTAATACTGTATGCTTTTTTTTATCAATCTATCTTCACGTAAAATTTCATTAATATCTGTTTAGACATTTAGTATGTCAAACTAACAGACGTTCGAATTTATAATATACATACGGTTTATGATAATCACATAGTCGTTAATTCTGATCCAAATAGACATTTTACTAGTCGCTTAAAATTCGCAGAGTTATTGCTTCTAACATGTCAGAGATAATTAATATTATATACTTTTTAAAGAGCGTTGTAAATGAGAAAATTAAATAGTTATTTATACAAACCAGTAAATTCTTCTTGGAGACTTGATTGTGGGAGAATATAATATTGGCAACCGCTTGCATATCGTCCTTGTAGCGGTCGCGGAGCGCCACCACGCATTTGTCGTATGACCCTGAATATAACGATTACTATAATAATAATACCTCTATGCCATAGACAAATGAAAAAGAAAAAAAATCCTGAACAATACACACAACGTCATCTAGTCCCAACGTAAGCAGAGCTTGAGTTATTGGTACTAGACAACTGATATAAATACTTAGATATTTTTTTCGTAAATATATACCTAGTACAAACAATCATACTCATGAATACAAATGCTTGTATGGTGCGAGGCATCAAATGCGTGTCCATCGGATATAAAGTTGTGTATATATTATGTATCTATTTTTAAAAACTAAACATAAGATCTATGTATTTATATCAGTTGTCTAGTGCCCACAACACAAACTCTGCTTAGCTTGGGACTAGGTGACGCTGTTGAATTGTCCTGAGTTATTTGTTAATTTATTTTTTACCTTGTCTATCTGGGATTAGTTATTTTTAAACTATATTACTCTCGACGTTTCGACTAGGTTGCATTGCTCATGCCTAGTCGAAACGTCGGCAGAGGTACATTAAATTAAATAGCTTTATTTACCCTAAAATTATTCGTCTTACAACCCGGTTGACAATACATATAATGTATCTGCGATCAGTCAATTAGTTTTTATCAAATTTCATTGCGATATTTATTTCTTTACATCATATTAAGTAAGCTTAACAGTTTCCAAATATGCCCACTTATGAAGATATATACATACACATCATTACATAGTATAAAACAAAGTCGCTGCCGCTGTCTGTCCGTCCCCATGTATGCTTAAATCTTTAAAACTACGCAACAGATTTTGAAACGGTTTTTTTAATAGATAGAGTCATTCAAGAGGAAGGTTCATATATATATATTATATGTACACCCGTGCGAAGCTAGGCGAGACGTCTATATATAATACACTAATTACAAAGAAAACAATCTTAATTTTACATACTACACAATTAATTATATAAAAAAATACTCACCCAGCTGGAAGTGACTTTCGACCAGATAATACTGCTTAAGTAGATCGTGCACAGCTGCCTTCATACGACCTCGTATGCCATTCCTAAGGGTATGAGCAAGTAAGTTTTAGGGTTAATATATTTTAAATATATCACACACTAGTTATTACCCGTGACTTTATACGCTTTGTCTTAAATAAAAAATATATGCCATATCCGTCCTGGTGAAACGTTCAATTAACGGCTCCATGAATCTAGCGGTTTAATACACCGCTTTACTTCCGACAGTCGCGGGTTCGATTGCTCAAACGATACAAATACGTGTATTCACGAGTATGATTGTATCAGTTTGGGATTTTTCTATGTATATTATGTATTTACAAAGAAATATATGTATGTATTTATACCAGTTGTTCAGTATCCATGTCAGAAGTTCTGCTTTGCTTGGAACTAGATGGCGTTGTGTGAATTGTCCTGAGATATAGTATATTAACTATATTACGTGATTTCTGTATTTTTTTAGTAAAAGATAGCGTATATCTGTCATCATGATGAAGATCCACAACATATGAGCACATCATATAATTTTTTTATTACAATCCGTTCAGTTTGAAAAGGTAACAAAGAAACAGAAAGACAAAAACACTTACAATAGAAAAATGAATTTAAACTGTTTTAAATTTCTTACCTGTATCTCTGGACTAATACGACAAGCGCCTGCGTACTCATAAAGAACACGTCCCTGTCAGCACGTTTAGCGAGCGACGCCGCGTGGCTGCAACAAGTATTATCTTCGTTACTTACATATAATTCAAATTAAAAAAAAATTTCGTTACTTACATATAATTCAAATTAAAAAAAAATCAAAAATATCATTTATTCATGTAGGACATTTTAGCCGCTTATGAACGTAATTTTTTTTTTATATTATAATTGTTTTCCCTACCGTCCAATTAAGTGTGTATCCAATTGGTAAGAACTGGCAAGAAACTCAATTGTATATTTTTTTAAAAGCCAATTATTTACAATGTACATTCATATAAGTTGATATACTCATATAGGTATCTATGTCTAACATTAAATGAAAATCCCTTGCATGAACAACTATTGCCATGCACGCTCGTCATCAATCAATTCACCAGAGACACATTCATAGATCCAATGTACTCACTGATCAATAACACTAGCAATCTGTTGACTCGGGAACTGCGCCAGAACACTGGTGATGTTCCTCTCGTACAGCGCCATCAGTTTGCGCACCTTCTTCTCCACAGCTATTGGTATACGACCGGACGTGGACGACAAGACCTGGTGGAGAACTTGGACATATGAAGTCTATCCTATACTAGTATAATAAACCGACTGATTTTGATATGAGCAAAATAAACTTTGGCACCAACGTGGCAGAATGAAAGAACGATCCTACCCCAGTCTTTCAAATTATTTTTTGGTTTGATATCTTCACCAAGAAGTTGATTATTTTTGACCCAGGCAAATTTGTACTCACGACCCTTGGGTTTAAATCAGGGTAGTAACCCAAAGTAGGTCACACAGCTCTATTGCATTCGCTATTATTATTTTACAAATACAAAAGGTATATTTGAACTCACAGCCTCGGCGGATATCAGGGTAATAAACCACTAGATTACAGCGTTTAGTTATATCAACTTATAAATACAAAACTGACAACTTCATGAGCATCAGTAAGAAACCGCTAGTTCCTTGAAAATTATTGTACAGGGGTAGTGGCCCAGTATGTAGTTAGTGTTTAATAATAATATTAAAAGAAATTCTTTCGTCTTCACTTTTATCATCATAACATAACTCATCCACGCTTGGCTAAGGCTCACGTGTTTGTATTACCCTTGTAAAAAGGGAGATATATAGAACATACATAAAAGAGTAATCATAATAGTAATCATTCAGCATACCATAATACAGAGTTTAACAGAGTAAAAATATAATAAAAACTTAAAAGCTCATCGCGCTATGAACTGAAACGGCCTCCAGCTTGTGCCGCAGCGTGTCATTGCAGCGCTGATTTTTCTTAGTTTATAATTTACAAAAAAAACAATCATTGTATCCAACGAGGGACATCGAGCCAGTGTAGCCAAAATATTAATAATGCAGTGTTGCTTCTTAGAATAGCCTTACCTTCTGGGCAAAGTAGCTACCAGCTTTCAAGTCACAAGTAACCTCGATGAGCCGCACTGAAATAGATGTGTTTAGTTTAACGTATCAACCAAACATACCTCTTGTAGTTCTAACAGCGGCAAGGACGGGTCCCGCAGACTCTGCATGAATTTTTCCACCACCTCCCGCAGTCTGGGCGTGTTGTATGGCTCGGGTAAGCAGTAACCTAAATATTAATTGAAAAATTATGATACTAATTAACTATCGGCCTCGGTGGTCTAGCGATGTAGCACGCCGCTTTACTTCCGATGGTCGCGGGTTCGATTCCTCGCACGGTACGGACTTGTATTCATAAGTATGATTGTTTGTATCGGTCAAAGTGTTTTTTATGTAAATATATTAATTGATTTATTAATTTTCAAAAATAAATAAATATTTATATCACTTGTCTAGTAGCCATAACACAAGCTCTGCTTACAGTGGGACTAGATGGCACTGTGTTAATTGTCCAGAAATATTTATTATTATTACTATTATTATTATTATTATTATATCTTTCTGCTGTGTAATTTAACTGCCATATCTCACACTTCAACCGGCGCCTACAAAGATTGCCAGAAATATATGCGACTGAGGTCCAAGTAAACATCTTTGTACAGTCGTCCTCAACATCAAATATATATTTACCTGCTAGTGTATTTTCCAATATAGCCCTATATTTGTTGTGGGCGTGGTTGAGTTTCTCTGACACCTGCGGGTTGTCCTCCAGAGGGAATTGCAACTTGTAGGGCTGCGCTGTCGTCACTAGTGACGGATCGTCCAGTTCTAAGACATACAATAATCTAATATATAAAATTCTTGTGTCACAGATTTCGTGTTTATACTCATCCGAAACGACTCTCCGATTATTATAAAATTTTATACGTATATTCATTAGGTTTGAGAATAGGTTTATACCACTAAGTGATAAAAAAATTATGTATGTGTATGTGTGTATAACCAACTAACAAAGTTGCTGGGACTGACAGGGAAAAGGCGAGTAAGTCGACAGAGAAAAAGATGGTCTGATGGCATTAAAGAAGTGGCCGGGGAAAACTGGATGAGCGTGGCTATGAAGAGATGAAAATGGAACAAATTGGAGGATGCTTTTACCCACATGGGACCATATACATACAGAAAATAAATTAGTCCTAACTTAAAATATTAATTTAATATATATATATACATATAATTAATTTAATTGTAATATATGGACAATAAAGCTTAAATAAATAAATGTGTGTATAAAGACACTATCATGTGTTTATACATACATACACATACATACATTTTTATAATATAGTCTTATATAGTTTATAGCACAGTCTTTGATAATAGAACCTTAATAATGTTCAAACATGAAATTAAAATTTATATATGGTCAAATTTCAACTAAGTCCTCAAGTAATATGAATACCAAAATAATGTAGTGTTAATAAATAAAATGTTATAATTACCCAAAGTTCCAATAAGTGAGCCCATATCAAGAACGGCACCTGGCCTCAAGGTCCATGTTACCTTGCCGGATTCTGGCGCTGACAGCGTCATCACCATTTTCATCACCTGATAAAAGAATCATCACCACAACCTTTAGATCACTTGTAGTTAAGAAATGTCATGTTTTTAGTTGTATTATGTTGTAATAAGCGTATAATATACAGATACGTTCATAAACTGAGGTAGGCAGAAACACCAGAAACTCCGAACCATACGGCCTCTGCACATATTCTACTTTGTACTCTGTAACTATTGTTCTTTGTATTAGTACGGGTTCTATGTATACTATATATATGTATATACAATCAAACGATCATACTCATGTATAAAAATGCCCGCATCGTACGAGGAATCGAACCCGCGACCATTTAACTACAATTAGTTATCACAATTACGTACCTCAATCTCGGCGTACGGCTGTCCCTTATCAACGTGTCCGCCATCATCGACCAACGTGTTGATCAATTTGCCGGCAGATGGCGCTCTAAGTTTGGACGGGTCCTTCTCCTTCTCGAAGACCACAGTTTGGTTCCCGATCACTATACGGTACTTATCCACCTCATCTTTGAAATATGTGGTGTATGAGGCGCCGTCAATGGAGAGCAGTATACCTGAAAGATTAAGTGGAAAAGGCAACTTAAAAATTATATATTCATATAGGAATTTATTTAGCTAACTTATCTAGACACGCGGCAGCGTGTCAAGCCGAGTTTCAAGTAAACTGGCTTGCAGCACCGTGTGTATATTTACACGAACCATTTGGAGCCACTTTTGACCCCCTCATAACTCAAAAACTCTATCACACAAACCTGTCAAATTTGGTTCATATATTGAGACTTGCGAGATAAATATGTGTTCCAAATTTCATAAACATATCTCAAACGGTTATTTAGATATTAATGTCCAAAAATCGTCATTTTTATCACTGATCAACTATAGATCAAAATTATAACCCACTTCCAGATGACCTAGGAAGTTCAAATTTGGCATGCAGATAGGTAATTAGGTGAATATAAAGGAAAAAACTGGTAAATTGTTATCATTTTACTACAATTTTTCACTTTAATTGATTATATTTCAACTTATACTGGACGAATACTAAAATTCTATGAAAACGTTGATAGCCACCAATTGACATTGATCCCTGGCGAAAAATTTCATCTTGTACTGGACGGAAAGTAATATTGTATGAAAACGTCGATCATTACCAATTTACGTTGACCCCTTCACATCAGTGTCGATAACTAGCAAACTTCAAATATTGCATTGAGCGATAAACACTAGTTGCTATAATTTAGATTCTGTCTAAAATATACTCGTACTTATAACTAGGAGTATAGTCGAATTTCGTATTTATTATGTTATTAACTGAGATTTGGTATTCATTATTATTTCAATATTTAGCGCACATCGATAGTGTAAAATCATTATTTTTATAAATAATTATTAAATAATAGACATTTCGGTATAGAGCGCCGCGGCGGCGCCGTGTGGGAGCGGTGCGATAAAACGTTGACGCGAACCTGTCCGAGCGAATGGCAGCCGCCCTCATATGTCTCAATGTTCTGTTTCTCGATATCTAACCTATAAGGTTACGATTTATGCTACGAAATTTATAGCTTTCTTAAATTATACTTATATATTTGTGGTTATATTATTATTACATTATTTTAGTAAATACGTATGGTATAGGCAATAGTTTAAACCAAAAATTAATAACAATTTTAGTATAGTTATAAGTAGGAATGTATAGTTAACTCGAGAATGAGAACTCATTGATAACAAATTGTTTTCTTGAGAATTCAATAGATAAAAGTCAATTTGTTACATAATCGTCTTTACGAACTATAACGTGTCAATACGAAGTTTCAGATATTAAATAATGTATATGTTGAAAGAGAACAATTCCGTATTTGCTTAACATATGCTATTACTATCCACAAATCACAAGGCCTTAGTTTTGGCAGTCCTCTTCTCAACATAGGCTCCTCCATATTTAATAAAGGGCAGGTTTACGTTGGACTCTCCAGAGTTAAAACCTTAGATGGGGTACGTCTTAACAATTTAGATCCAAGTCACGAGAGCTCTATTGTAGAGTACAACCATCTGTGGACGTTATACCGCCCCGATTTGCCCAAAAATTCCTGATACTGAATTGGCTTTGGACTTCAACATTTAAAAGTTACAAGAAAATATAGAAAATAACACAAAAAAAAAGACAATTATACCCCGTAAATATACGAAAATACAGTAATTTATCAAAAATAATTTGGTATTAATTTAGTTATAAATATGTACCTAGTATAATTTATGTACAAAAAGTAATGATATCCCATCAAAAACATAAATGTGAAATGATAGCCGAGTTTAATATTATGATATATGCCTTGATTGTTGACTTCTACGACAAAAGAGATGAGATCTAAATGGGTGCCAAGTTCAATGGTCTGTCCTGAAATGTATTTATAACAATATAAAATATCATTTCTTCTTATAACTTAGGATAATATACTGTAGCCTAAGGTCTAACTTGGCTAGTATTCATATACGAAATATACTGTAGCATTCGCAAGTTCTAAACATGTTACTTGTCGGTTCCTATTTTAATATTAATAGTAACTAGCAATCGAAAGTAATAATTGGTATATGAGAACTGGCCAAGTTAGACCTTAGGCTACAGTATATTATCCTAATTTATAAGAAGAAATGATATTTTATATTGTTATAAATACATTTCAGGACAGACCATTGAACTTGGCACCCATTTAGATCTCATCTCTTTTGTCGTAGAAGTCAACAATCAAGGCATATATCATAATATTAAACTCGGCTATCATTTCACATTTATGTTTTTGATGGGATTTGGTATGACTGTATTTAATTCTAAGATCTTAATGCACCTAAAGAAACAGAAATAATCTTAATTCATATTCAAAAATGATTTATTCATGTAGGACATTTTAGCCGCTTATGAACGTATTTTTTTATATTATACTTTTTTTCCCTAACATTCTATTCAAATAAACTTAATATAAACATATTAGAATAGTCATACTCATTCGGATCGCAAACTCATCACAAGAAACTTGCGTGTTACTCTTTTAAATTTGGCTTACTACTAAATAGTCCCAGGTCTACAGGTACAACGGCCCAAATGTGAGTTTAAATGCGGTAAAAATAGAGTCAGTTTTCCATGGACATCATTTATAGTGAAAACAATTACTACCTATTATCGCCTACTTGCCCAAATGTGCACCTAATCGCAGTAACAATAGAGTCCTTTTTCCTTGGATATAATTTACTTACCGCCATCAGTCAGCTTATGCACCTCCATCTCCTTGAAACTGCCGTTCATGGCCAGGAAATAGGAGGTGGGGCCCGACTTGGTAGCTTGCACCTTATATTTAGAACCGCTGTGTATCAACTCCACATCTACGCAGTTGGATAACTGGCTCGACCCTTGGATTTGTCCCCTGGGTAATACATTGGCTTTTGTTATTTATTTTTCACACTAATTTGATATCAAAAATATCATAAGTCAAAGTGCATTATTGCTTGATAGTTTACCTGCCTTTACACGATACGTTCTTTGACGCTCGATCACGACCGCGCGCTAGACAGTGCGTAAAAGCCAGGGTGCGTAATTATGAGTGATTGCATTTAACTATTTTCTTTCTTGTTTTGCGAATGACTATGTTTCATTTCACTTTCATTTCAAATTTTATTTTTTAATCCCTTGATTTTATTTTCCAAAGATATGGTTAAAATATACGAATTATCAATTATGAATTTCCTCCATACTCATATGGCCTCCATTTTGTAATGATAATTCATTATTACAAAGGCGCTAAAACATGCACGAATGAAGGACGCAGAAATGCGCTCACTGGCGGCAAGTAAGACGTAAAATGTTCGTCTTCAGGGAAAACTATCGCATATTGTACAAATAAAAATATACAGTTAATTGAGAATCTTCTCCTTTTTTAAGTAGGTGACAAACTATGAATAATTCGTAAAGCTTACTTCTCTAGCGCGCTCTTGAACTCCAGAAGGTGTGCGGTGATGATGCTATCAGCTATAAGTATACCCCCGCACAGCACGCCCAGCATTATGTCCGGCTTCTCTGCTTGAACCTAGTGGAAAAAGAAACTCAAAGTTAACAATTACATCTTAACCTTTATATGCATATAAAATTACAAGCTGGGCTAAGCTTGTAGTTTTATACCTATGAAATTTTGATTAATGTAATATGTTTATAAATTTTAAACAATAATATACCATACTCGTGAACCGGTGTTGTTTGTGTCTGTTCGAGCTACGGACACTGATTAGACTATTTCCTTTTGAATAAATAGAAATAGCATATGCTGATGATAAATCTATTCTCCCTAATATGAATTTTAAAATTATTGTATATTTTTGAAACAGTACTAGTTCATTTGAAAAGAATAAGAGCTGAGTTTCTAGGCAGTTCTTCTTAGCTCGATAGCACTTCGTAGATTTGATATCATAAGAGTCTGTAATAGACCTACATGAATAAACATGACCTTTATTTGTAATAATTTTATATTTTAAATATCTTGTAATATATAAATACTAATATATACCTTTTCGATTTTGTTTAATTTTTAGATAATTATATTATTTCAATTTTGTTCTTATTTATTATTAAAAAATACATACAACGGGTCAGCTAGTTATATATATAATATATCTAAATAGTAGTTTTTTTTTTCCAACTTACCCTCTCGGCAATAAGAGCATCGAGCCAGCTGGTGTCAATATTGTTCTCTTGGAAGGCGGGAGTCTCCAACAAGGTGATCAGGTACTCCACCGTGGTACGGAAGTCTCCGCGGATGCTCAACTCCTTCAAAGCTATGACCAGGTTCCTAAAATAGAATAGAAAAGTCTATACTCAAATAAACTACTAAAGGGATTTTGATGAAACTTTATAGTAATATAGCATAATATTGTAAAGTTTCAAGAAAATCCCGTACATGCAACCGCAGGTACCGGTAGTTATACGCAGTTATATATTTTTTTTTTTTGTTTTAAACGTTTAATTTTATTATAAAAGTATTATAATTAATCAATACTTTTGGTTCTCATGTTAAGTAAATTTTACGTAAACCTACATTTGGTCTTCAATTTACGAGTTTGCGATGGCTTTTATAAAATAGTTCTGTATTCTTAATTCCAGATCAGTCTGTGATGGTCTACTGACATCTATTGAAGTCTACTGCAGTCTACTATGGTCTACTGCTAAACAACTTACTCTCGAGCCTGCTCCCTCGTCTCTCCCCATGAGAAACAGTGACCGAACTGCGAATCTGCGAACTCGTGCAACCCACCAGAGGCCGCTACACTGAAATATCCCCACACATTCTTCGAAGACCTGAAATTCAGCTCCTGGACTGTGCCGGAAGATGGCTTGAAACCTGGCGAGAAAGGAATTAATTTTTATTGTTGGTCTATGGTCTATATTTTTAGTTTTTGTAAATATGTGTTCTTATTGTACGTACACACGTAGATTCTCACAATATTTTATAATATGGCAATTGCACCTGCTATCAAAATGACAGTGTCTATATTTGGTGACAGTTCACGCGTTCCTTACACGACATAACAATGTCTGTCGGATCGTCTAGTCTAGTCAATTATAGAAAGTAAAAAATACAACAATGGTTCGATGATATAACATAATATCAAATCAAAGTATCTTTATTCATGTAAGTCTATTACAGACTCTTATGATATGTAATCTAGATATTTTAATACATAGAAATTCTGTTGAAATTCCCAAAATAAATTAATCCGTTTCAATGCATCATTAAAGGAAGGTAATATATTTTACGAGGAACCTATGTATGCATATAGTTTAAACCATTCCTTATCAACAACAACCTGATAAGACTATATTGTTTTTATTTAATTTTAAATTGTTTACCTTCATCAGGGTTCTCCGAGGTGATCCTGGCTGCTATCACGTGTCCCCATGGGGAAGGTCGCTGTTTGGGCTCATCAAAGTCCAGCTGGGTCATTCCCCATGGTGACTCCCCGTATAACAGGCGTATGTCCTTGATATGATACAGTGGAAGACCCATAGCAATCTGGAGATATTAATATTTATTTACATTATAACTAGGGATCCGTCCCTGCTTCGCACGGTTGCAGAATAAATCTTCACATTTCTCTGCTTGTATATGCATGTATAACACACATGTACTACACATATAATCCTTCCTTTTGAATCTATCTATTGCCGAAAACTGCATTAAAATCCATTGCATAATTAAAAAGATCTAGCAGACAGCAGTGGCGACTTTGTTTTATACTATAATAATAATCTCAAGACAATTCACACCGTCCCAAGTCAAGATATCTGTGTTATGGGAACTGATATAAATACATAGATTTTTTTACATAAATAAATACAAAATACACATAGTAAACACCCCGACCGATACAAACAATCATACTCATAAATACAAATGTTTGTGCCGTGCGAGGAATCGAACCCACGACGGTCGGAAGTAAGCTGATATGCTAAACCACTAGACCACCGAGACCATCATACTATGTAAAGATTCTATCACTTATTATATCTTTTAGGGATAATGTCTACATGATATAGTAACTGTAGTACAACTGAGCTATAGTAGGCTAACAGCCTTATCATATGGAGAGAAATCTGTATCTCTCAGTGAATGAGTATCACAATCAGTCCAATCTGGCTTAATATGGCAATATAATGAACTATCTGTCTATGAAAATTAATTCAAATCCGTCCAGCAGTTTTTGTTGGAACACTAACAAATATCCATACATATCTATCCAACCACACAAACTTTATAAACAATATTAATGACATAAAAACATAACTGTATTATATGCATTATATTTGCACCACCAACAATTATTCTCAGGACTAGCTATAGTTGACTGATAGAAAATACCGCATGGTGTCAACTCCGCCTGTGTCCAAATGTGCTATTACGTATTGTATCGTGTGCATTAAAGTTATATAAATAAACTAGCTATTCGCCCCGGCTTCGCACGGGTGTATATGTATTATACATATAAACCTTCCTCCAGAATTACTCTATCTATTAAAAAAACCGCTTCAAAATCCGTTGCGTAGTTTAAAGATTTAAGCATACATAGGGATGGACAGACAGCGACAGCGACTTTGTTTTATACTATGTAACTAGCTACTCGCTCGGCTTCGCCCGGGTGTATATGTATTATACATATAAACCTTCCTCCAGAATTACTCTATCTATTAAAAAAACCGCTTCAAAATCCGTTGCGTAGTTTAAAGATTTAAGCATACATAGGGATGGACAGACAGCGACAGCGACTTTGTTTTATACTATGTAACTAGCTACTCGCTCGGCTTCGCCCGGGTGTACATGTATTATACATATAAACCTTCCTCCAGAATTACTCTATCTATTAAAAAAACCGCTTCAAAATCCGTTGCGTAGTTTTAAACATTTAAGCATACATAGGTACGGACAGACAGCGACAGCGACTTTGTTTTATACTATGTAACTAGCTACTCGCCCGGCTTCGCCCGGGTGTACATGTATTATACATATAAACCTTCCTCTTGAATCGCTCTATCAATTAAAAAACCGCTTCAAAATCCGTTGCGTAGTTTAAAGATTTAAGCATACATAAGTACGGACAGACAGCGACAGCGACTTTGTTTTATACTACGTAACTAGCTACTCGCCCGGCTTCACCCGGGTGTACATGTATTATACATATAAACCTTCCTCCAGAATTACTCTATCAATTAAAAAACCGCTTCAAAACCGTTGCGTAGTTTTAAAGATTTAAGCATACATAGGGATGGACAGACAGCGACAGCGACTTTGTTTTATACTATGTAACTAGCTACTCGTCCCGGCTTCGCACGGGTGTACATGTATTATACATATAAACCGTCCTCTTGAATCGCTCTATCTATTAAAAAACCGCATCAAAATCAGTTGCGTAGTTTAAAGATTTAAGCATACATAGGGATGGACAGACAGCGACTTTGTTTTATACTATGTAACTAGCTACTCGCCCGGCTTCGCCCGGGTGTACATGTATTATACATATAAACCTTCCTCCAGAATTACTCTATCTATTAAAAAAACCGCTTCAAAATCCGTTGCGTAGTTTTAAAGATTTAAGCATACATAGGGATGGACAGACGGCGACAGCAACTGTGTTTTATACTATGTATGAAATACATATATATATATGATAAATAAATGACTGACCTGTAATTGTGCAGCAGGCAAGTTGACATCTGCTACCATCTCAGTGCACGGATGCTCGACTTGGAGTCGCGGGTTCAGTTCCAGGAAGTAGTACGACCCGGTGGCCGGATCGTAGAGGTACTCAACGGTGCCTGCACTCACGTACCCCACCATTTTCGCTAGACGGACTGCAGCCTAGTGACAAATAAAAGATAAAAATGTATTATTATTGTAGTAACAAAATTAATAGAATAGAATATAATATAAAATTATTTATTCAAATAAACCTACATTGAAGTACTTTTGAACAGTTATGAGTTTTCTTTTTAACTTAACACACAAGTTTCTTGCTCAATCTTCTTGTGATGAGTCTGCATTTCGAATGAGCGGCAGAAAAAAATTTGACTATTCAAAAGTGCTTATATTAAGTTTATTTGAATAAAGATTATTTCTATTTCTTACTGCTCATTCGGAAAGCTGTCTCATCACAAGAAGAACCAGCAAAAAATTTGCGTGTTACTCTATTAAATAATTGTTGTAATAGTAAAAGTTGTAACTTTAAGTTGAGTGACATTTTTAGTTTAAAAAAAAAACCACTTACATAACCTAAGCTCAAGGTGAAAGAAACTTTATTTAATTATTAACTAGTGCAAATTTAGATACATATTCTGATATAGAACTTACTGTTTCAGTTCTCGACAGGGCAAGATCTTTTAGAATATTTTGCGAACTTTGCTCGTATATCTCTCACTGCCACTTCGAACGTATATAAATTAAATAATTACTTTATTTTATTAAGCCGTACCTTTTCCATCTCAATAAAAACGTCAGGCTTGGCAATAGCCGCCGGCGCCTCCTCTATGATCTTCTGGTGGCGACGTTGGATCGAACAGTCACGACCGAACAGAGATATCGCGTTGCCTGCAACGTAACATTACATTATACAACATTAATCGAAAAAAGCCTTTGTAAATAATAAAATTGTGTTAAATAATTGCAGTATTTTCTAAAATAATTAAAGACATTATTATAAATAATAGCTTGGTCTTAATATTAAAATAATGGATGTTTGTTACTCTTTCACCCAAAAACAACTGAACGGATTTTGATGAAACTTTACAGTAATATAGCTTATGTATCAGAATGACACATAGGCTATTTTTTATATTGAAATTTAACGCGGATAAACCGCGGCACAGCTAGCTTATAAAATGTCATGTTTGGAAACTTACCGTACTGGTCAGCCAAGAGTTGAACTTCCAGATGTCTGGCTGACTTAGCCAACTTCATGACAAATATTGGTGATCCCGGAACTTCTGCTTGCACCTATTATAATCATAATAATAATAATATGTGTGGAAAAAACCAGCAAAAACTGAGCTAAAATTTGAGCGCGTTTGACCGCAATCCACCTGATGTTAAGTGATGATGTGGTCTAAGCTGTTACACGCAAGCTCAAATAATACCTATTCATTCTTGACTTCAAAGGCCCAATGTTGTAAGAAGCAGGAAAAATAGACGATATGTGATTACCGTATATTCACAGTTAATATTGCCAAATATGGTTCAACATATAGGTATTCGTAAAGTACAAGGGATATATTAGTATTTGTTAATAAATTTTAAATATGTCATTGATATTTAATTTATTAATAGGAAAAGGTTTTAGAAAGCCGCCTAAGGTGGTACGGTCATGTCATGCGGCGACCATCAGACCACATAACAAGAACAGTACTTGACATGAGTACCTAGCCCAGAACACGCGGCAGACTCCATCTCATATGGATGTCTGTTATTGAGAGGGATTTAAAAAACGCCGAAATAACACCCCAGACGAGCTAGGACAAACCGTCCTGGCTAAAACTGACCAGACGAGTCAAACGAAGACGAAAAAGAATAATAAAATAATATATCCGAGTTATACATATTTGTAGATAAAGTCACGGCACCACTTAGTACTAGAATATATACAAACAAATCTATCTTAACTGTTAGACCTACAATGAGTCACTGGCAGTTTTATATATTCTTTTATCCATATTCAAAATATGATGTTCTTTTTACACATTTTGTTTTATAACAGTTCTGTCACTACGCTCTACTATAATAAACGTCTATATAAGCATCTATATTATTTTCATTCAATTTACTTTAATAAAAAAAATCTTAGAAATAATTAAAACAAACCTGTCGGAACATGTTGTTAAAATCATCAGGGTTCTCCACCTTCCTGATACCTTTGCCACCGCCCCCTTCTGACGCCTTGATCATCACGGGAAAGCCTGATAATATAAAATAGTTATTTAACAATGATTCCTTGATACTGTATCACTGTTAATTATTTATTTAGATACAGGATGTCCTAAAAGTCAACTATAAATAGGAAGCTTTCCGCTACGTTATTTTTGCTGTATATTAATGATAGGCTTAAACACTCATTTCGGCGAATTTCACAATTTCATTCCTTCAGTACCGTTCTAACATCGTATAACATATTTTAACTAGTACTACTACTACTAAGAACTATAATAATACTGTCTAGTGCAAATAACTTGTGTCTAGATTTTTTGTCTGTGCATATAGCTACGGTTTTATCTAATATATTGTCATAAACATCACCTAAAGTTTTATCCTAATCAACTTTAGGTGAAGTTTGTGGACCAAACAAAAATTTATAAGAGTACGATGTCGCAGTCTCAGTTTGTGCTCATATTTAAATAAAGATTCAATGTTTGAACTTACCAATTTTGTGAGCGGCCTGTAGCCCCTGTTCAGGGGAAGTGACACAACCCTTGGCGAACAGTTCAGATGATATTTTGATTTTCTTTGTATTGTACTCTGCTTTCAATTCTACAATTCAAATCAAAATAAAATTAATCTATACATATAAATAAAATTGGACTGTCTGTTTGTAAAATTGAAATAACCGTTTTTTACTACATGCATATGAATATAAATGCGGTACATATACCAAAATAACATTTTTTACAATTTTTGACTGACTGTTTGTTCCGGCTAATCTCTAAAATGGCTGGACCGATTTTGACGGGACTTAGGAAGGAGTAACTTGGCTACTTTTGTTTTAGAAAAATACAAGTTAAATTCCACACGAAAGAAGTCGCGTGTACAGCTAGTTTTAAATAAAAATAAAGTATATATTAGAATGATTATAATCTCAGACGGGGTAATAATATGCTACCATATATAAATGTGAAACTATGACTGTCTGTTACCTTTTGACAACTGAATAGCTGCCTTTATACGACATGTTCTTTCACGCGCGATCTGGTGCGCGAGGGAAAAGCAGCACGACCAATCGTGTTATTTTTTTTTTTGTTCATCTTTCGCTCTTAATAGCGCATACGTTCTGTTCACTTTATTTCATATTGCATATGTATTATTTTCCAAAGACCCGTGTAAGATTAATAAATTAAAAATAACTGTATAATTGTCTTTGCTCTACAGTCTATTTTGCAATGATAATAATAATTAATTGTGATTGCAAAATGGCGGCTAAGTACGCTAAGGCGCCAAAGCACGCACGATTTACGGACGCGGGAATACGCGAATTGGCGGCGTGTGCGGTCTCTCTCTACATTTAGATGCGTATTTTTTCGCGCGTGAAAGAACCTACGCGTAAAGGTATCTAATGACTTAACAGATGGGTTATATCATGAGGAGAGTATATGGGCTATCTTTTATCTAAAAAAAAGCATACTAAGTTGCGAATAAAAACTTATAATAGAAAAGCGGGGATACGCGACCTGGCGGACCACGGGATCTTTCTCGTTTTCTTGCTCTACTACTATTTAATTGCGCGCGTGAACGAGCGTACGTGTAAAGGTATCTAATGAAGTAACAGATAGGTGGTATCATGAGGAGAGTACATGGGCTATCTCATCTTAATATTATTACAAATGCGAAAGTTTGTAAAGATGGATGTTTGTTACTCTTTCACGCAAAACTACTGAATACATTTTGATGAAACTTTACAGTAATATATCTTATTCATCAGAATAACACATAGACTATATTTTGTATTGAATTTATATACTGAAATTTAACACGGATGAAACCACGTGTACAGCTAGCGTAAAATAAAGCATAGTAAGTTGCAAGTAAAAGCTTTTAGTAAAACAAATTTATCAACCAACCACTTCCACTCCACGGCAGCGTGGGTATGTTTGCCGTCTGTGCGACAATGGAAGAAGCTATTTTGTCTCCGAGGGCCCACATGGCCTTCTCTGGGGGTCCGATGAATACGACTCCGGCGCGGTGCAGTAGCTCGGGCAACTTCGGGTTCTCTGACGCGTGACCCCAGCCCGCCCACACCGCCTGTATTATTAAATTTAAAGTTAGTATTTTTTTTTTAATAAAATCCCTAATCGAATAACATGTTAGTCTACTTATAAACTACTGTAGTTCTTCCCATTACTTAATATTTGAGTAACAAATTCAAATTATTCAACAAATATCAGTGTCTCGTCATAATAATAACCTAAACTCAGCAGACCTTATGTTTGGGTACTAAATAGGCAACTGATACAAATACTCAAGATACACTTCTTTACATACATACAAAATAGAAAACACCCAGATCAGTACAAACAATCATAATCATGAATACAAAAGTTTACATCGTGAGAGGGATCGAAGCAGCGATAATCGGAAGTAAAGAAGTGTGTTAAACCGCTAGACCATCAAGGCCGTCAAATATAATATAATATTATTATTATTATATATATATATATATATATATATAAATAAATATCTCAGAACAATACACACAGCGCCATCTAGTCCCAAGTCAAGGAAAGCTTATGTTGTACTAACAACTCATTTCAATACATTATTTTAAATAGATACAATTTATGCATAAAAATATAATGTGTTATAATCTCTAGAGCTGCCTCTAGTATTTGAAAACTTCTTTCACTGTTTAATATATTTATTTATTGTTTTTCTAATTAATAAAATAAGTGCATACCTGCACTTGTGTACGTATAGCAATGTCGACAATGAGCTCCACGTTGGCGTAATTGTTGTTGTTGGAGCCGCCGGGTACCGGCACGTAATGATCCGCCATCTTTATATACTCCGCATTGGCTTTCAAGTCCTCTGGAGTCACCTGCCAATGACAATTTATAAACATTAGAATTTTTTTTATTTATGTAACTGGAAGGCAAGCTATCGGTCCACCCGATAGTAAGTGGTAAACGTAGCCTATATACATGAACAGTACTACGGACATCACGTTATCATGTGACGCTCGTGACTCCACTCATGCGTTGTCATTCCAGAGGACAAAGATATTATATCTCCTCTATCGTTTATCCTGTAATTTCACTGGTAATCTATTTAAATATATATATTTGGTTGCCGTTGAAACGAAGCAGAAGACTGGTAATCTACGCCCTAGAACCCAAACCGCTTAAATTAGTCAAATTTTGGTGACAAAAAAAAAATTTTTTATCACACATACATAGGTTCGTATAATATTGTCAAATCTGTGACGGATTGCAATCGTGACATTACTATAAATAAAGACTGAAGCAAAATCTATTAATTGCAAAAATAATCATTAAAATGCTTTCATAACAACATAATATCTAGTGTATACAGACAAAAAATGATATCAAATTGAGAGTCTGTTCGAAAATGATTATAATTTATTATATTCTAATTTTATATTAAATTTCAAGCATTTATTTACTAAACACAGTAAGACAGTTACTTTTTTGCATGTTTAATTGTCACACCAGTGGCAGTGTTTCTTTCGACACAATGTTTTACCAATAAATTTACCAAATGAAATAATATGCACCCTGGGAAGGTATGTGACATCTGAGATACAGTATAATTTTATACTAGTTCAGATGGCACAATTACACTTGTATGTTAAAATTATTGACTCTTATGTACAACTTAATTATGTAACACAACCTTTAACTGCAATAAATATTATTATTATTATTATTATTATTAATATTTCCATAATTTAATATATAATTCATTAAATTTCTTGGTATATAACTTACCATCACAACAAACCTGACAGCTCTCTCGTTCTTGAACATCTCGTAGGACCATCTTCTGATTGATCTCATGCATTTTACAGCACCAATACCATTATTTGCAATCAACACCTGCAAAATAACTAATAATATAGAACAAACAGAACAAACACATCACATATTTAAGACTAACAGTAATGTGAGGGAAAGGAAATGAAATTTGATTTGTCACAAGCTGTACTCGCGACTTCGTCTGAAAGGAATTTAAATTTATTTTACCAAATATTTCTAAAATAAAAGTTGCCTAAGTTACTCCTTATTACATCAGCTACCTGCCAAAAAAAAGTCCCGTCAAAATCGGTCCAGCCATTTCAGAGATTAGCCGGAACAAATAGACAGACAAAAATTCAAAATAAATTAAAATTACCGTATTAGTACCATATTTATATTCATATACATGTAGTAAAAAATGGTTATTTCAATATTACAAACATACACTCCAATTTTATTTATATGTATAGATGTATAAATAAAAGTAGTACATAATAGATGGTATGGTCATTTATGTTATATAGCTCTCACTTTTAGTCTTTACAAACATACAAACACATAGTTGAAGTAATCCATTATTATTCTTTATATAATTTAATAAAACTTACATATTATAAATTTATTATTATTAAAAATTTTATTTAGATATTTATAAAACTGTCATATATTCAATTCAAATGTTAAAATTATGTAAAGTTTAAAATGTCCCATTTTAAAAGTAAGAACTCACCTTATTAATGGGTTTAGTGCCCTGAAACCGCCGTACAAACTCCTCCGGGGTGGCAACTGTGAAGTCTTTCTCTTGAAACCGTTGACTGTGAACCACTGTCCCCTGGGACATAGACGGCCTGCAAAATTAAATTTATAATTTTCATCAACTATGTTTTTCTATTATTTTAAGCTCCAGCAGTCAACTATTTGAAAAGAATTAATGTTATTTTCCAATTACTATAGTCAAACAACTAAATAAATTACAAGTAAAATAAATGTAAGCTGTATATTATTTATTTGGGTTTTATCCATTAAAAATGCATACCAATAATAAACACTTATCTAAATTTACATGCTCCATATGTACTTGAAAATTAAACTATGTATACTATGAACACATTTATATCTATAACAAATAGAACAAACCTATTTGAATTAAATAAATAATGTACAGCTTAATATTTACACATAAAAAATGTGTGTACAATTAGATTATCAAAATAGTATGATAAAACATTCAAAATTTCCGTTTTGTTATTATATATATAGAATTGAGACTTAATATACCTTTATTTATCACTAAATCTCCATACCCATTCATTTCAGTATAGTGCAGAATAGCATTTACAAAAATGTATCCTAAATAACCTGATAATAAAGTCCGTAATTGCATGCCTATGAGACATGATGATTGGTAAGTTCAATATAATAATTACTCATGTAAATATCTGTTTAGATGAGGCCATATAATTAATTTGACCTCTGATTTCAATAAAACACAAGTCACATTAATATAAACAAATTGTTATTATTATTGTTTGTTTATAGTTTTTTATGACGAGATAACAAAAACTTATCAGCTTTGTACCTTTCTCTATTTATAATTTGAGGTGAAATAAACCAAGGAAAGATTGAAAGACTTTATATTCATAACACCACCTTTTTTACACTTTTCAGGTTACTTTTTTGTTTATCTGTGCATTAATAAGTTATTATGATTGACCTAAAGTGACAAACGGGATTCTTCAATATTTACTAACTTACCACATTATTTTATTTCACAAATCACAAAATTTTTTAAATAGATTTACTATTTGGTATTACTACTGTTTAACAATAAGAAAATCATTTGCATAGAATGTTGTTTATGTAAATTATTTGTAATACTATAATAACAAGTAACATTGTACAGAAATCACCTGCAACATGTCCCTAGTAAGAACATTTTAGATAATTATTATGTACTAGAACAGAAAGATACAAAGTAAACACAGAATATTTAAATTGTAATAGGTAATTATACAATTTATTAAATATTTCATTACACTTATTATATACTACACATATGAAAAATACAGCTGAACAAATAACTACAATTAAGCAATACATGAATTAATTAGAAATTGTACAACCTTCCAGTAAGTGAAACTTAGTGAAATCAGTTTGGCAGTTTGGCACACATTCTTACTCCCTTTGCATGCCGTGCAATTAAATGACAATTAAAAAAATATATACTTTTTTAAATTATTGTTGATTATTCACATCAATTAATTGAATCGATTTTTAAAATCGCACCGTGCAAATTAATATCAATAAAATAACAATTATAACCTGTATGGACTTTCTGAATATAATCCGTTCATACTGGGGTACATTTTCACAATTATAATACGTAGTTGCATACAATTTATAATATTATATTATTCAGAAACTTTATTATATCAATAAAATTATAATTCAACAACATTTCAGCGCCGAAAGTTAAAAATCGGTTTTTGTTTTCGTACTACGAGTTTGACACTTTGACACATGAATCGCCAATGAAACATGAATGACGGATCATACGATCGCGTTGTCTCACTCACACTGACCAATTAACATGTGAGTGAAAGAAGCAAATAATCAATTATTCAATGTTGCCTGTCTGGAATATTATTGACGGAATATTATTTTGTATACAATAAACATGATTTTGTGTAATAATATATGAGGAAGTCTAGAAATAGTCATGTTTCAGATTAACGTAATCTGTTTTTATCACAAATAAAATAAAAACATTGTAGTGTTAAACTACATACATTATGATGATAGACATTTATCATTTAAATCCCACAATCCGAGCTATTGGTTAGTGATTACTTTAAATTTGAAACTAGCTATTTATACATTAAATAACAATCTAAAAATAAAATTTACCTAGAGATGTTTCAGTGTTATTAATTTGCTTCATAGTTAAATTAAATCATTTGCATAATTTCAATATGGTTTTTGTCAATTGCTAAAATATTTTTTTAATAAATTAAGAAACAATTGCAATTAAACTCTTGTGTGGGTATCTCTCTCTCTATGTACATGATAGTAAAAAAGTTTGTAATAAGGAGATGGCGTACCTACTATGAGCTAAACTGCAAGTGCAAGGAAACACCATACCAAAACGAAAGAAATAGAAATAATCTTTATTCAAATAAACTTAATATAAACACTTTTGAATAGTCAAGTTTATTATAGTACTGCTTATTCGAAATGCAGATTCATCACAAGAATAAGCAAGAAACTTGTGTGTTGCTCTTTTAAATAAACATTGATTTAAGTATATTATTATTAACAGCAAGGATTAGGCATGCGACAATCAACATAGAAACCGCTACGCACTTAATCTCTGTTCAATCAGATAACATTGTCATTGAAAAGCAAATAATCCGAGAGAGAGGCGGTAGGCCCGGTCTATACTACGTTGGATTCAGTATACAAGTTGTCAATTGACAATGCCTGCCTCTGGCTACCCGATCCGGGATAACAGTCGTGAAAGTATGCATGTGTGTGGTTCATACATGATCTCAAAACAGTGTGGCAGAATGATTTTAGAACTTTGCCTTGCGTGAGACCTACAAACTAAATTACACATACTTACTGTTATATAAGATTTAATTTACCAATTGTTAGTGTCACTTGATCCTTGTTCAGACCTGAAGAGCGTTGTTAAAAATATTATATAAGTAAAATACATTTTCTGTTAATATTACTGTAATACCTAACATACCTACGTATACAGATAAAGAGTACGAGGTACCTACACGATATACCAAGCCAAAATCCACATATAGTATTGATACAAAACAAGTTTTTAAAAATGGAAAACATAATTTGTACTACTAGATATATTAAATATTACGACAATTTAAAAATTTCTATTCAAATATGTACATAATCACTTTTTTTGGTGGATAAATACGTTTCGGTTTTATAAACTGTTTTGTAACAGCCTATATTAAAATATTATAACACATGAACATAAATGCAATAGAGCCGTCCTTACAGGCAGCACTGGTCATGCAGCCGTCTCCGATCAATCCCCCGTCCAATTCTAACGGGGATCGATATTACGACGGCCTGAGCCGAGGTTCGAACCCCTAGCGGTGCCCTCCGACTAAAGTCGTATCCGTCAAGCGGGAGTTGTCTCCTTAAGTCCTTCCGCGAGTTTGGAGTGCCATCTGCACTCGCCCCCTATCGTCCGGTGAAGCTGTAAAGGCCAGCTGCGGCCAACAGCATTAGAGTAGTGCGAAAAAAAAAATCGTCATGCAGTATAACGGATGAGCCAGCCTTCACTGCGCTCGACTATGTATAGGAAGTCCAATAACCCGGCCCACCACGCGTCACGCCGCCAACATATAATAACACCCAGGTTATGTGTTGCCATTTCTAAGACTGCTCTGTACTGTACTGTAATTTCCTTAACTATATAACTACCTATAATAAAATGTATAGTTAATATGACCATTTATTTTTTCACTCAAGATGGGACATTGCCTTATTTATGTCAATTATTAGACAGTCAATGGAAAAAAAGAATTTCTTAAAGCTTTGTTCAAAAAAAGTTAGCTTAAAAGTTGAGGATAAACAAATTTGCTTTAATATAGCTAGTGAAGTTTTTAAGTAAGACCACAGATAAGATACACATTATTATATAGTAAGACATAGTCTTGGCACGTTTTTTTTATACCTATTCACCTTAATTATCAACAATAATCAACATCACAACCGGCCCGCTTGACCACACAATTTTCGCGGGGTTTCCAAAAACGGGACAATTTTGCGTTCCTGAGTCCATTTTGGGGACACCGGGCCTCGTAATTTTAAAAAGGGTCAGTATAGTTGACATTACAAATTAATATAGATATTACAAGAAACCACGATTGCATGAGTTAACTAGCTAACACTTACACAGTACCAAAACAAACATTTATGTATACCTACGTAAGTATGTATTAAATTATATTATTTGCATACAAACTTGGAATTGTAGGAAAATGACGTCATGTTTACACAAAACACATATGTTGTTACATGTTTTTGAACAACTTTGTAATGTAAACGACATGGTCTATGCTGTGTGTTATTGGGTTCAGTACGTGTAGATAAATAGCGAATTTGTTTTTTTTTCGGACTATTCTAAAGCTGTTGGCCGCAGCTGGCCTTTACATCGTCACCGGACGATAGGGGGCGAGTGCAGATGGCACTTCAAACTCGCGGAAGGAGTTATGGAGCGGCTGAAGGCCAACTCCCGCCTGACGGATACGACTTTAGTCTGAGGGCACCGCTAGGATTTCGAACCTCGGCTAAGGCCATCGTAATTCGATCCCCGTTTGAATTGGATGGGGGATCGATCGGAGAGAACGAAAACGGAACGTTCCCATGCCTAAATATACGCCTGTGTGTATAATTGTATATCCTTATACATATGTAGGTTAATATGTATTTTTACATAATATAAAATGAAGTCACCGCAGTTGTCTGTTCACTTATATCTTTTAAATTAGGCAACGAATTGTAATGCAGCTTTCAGCAATTAGATAGAGTGATTCAGGAGGAAGGTTTATTCATGATTATTGTAGTATAGAATTAGTCTAGAAATTCAAAGTTATGTAATGCATCCGTACGTATCGCTAGTATCAATATATGTAGAATAATTAACTTCATAAAGAAACATAAAATTAAAGCTTTAAATATTTTAGCGGATTTCAGAAGTAATTCAGAGAATTTTCAATTGGCTCCTATTTTTTTATTTTATGTATACGTATTGTGACATCTTTAAGTTTTTTAGGTATGCAATAACATTACAATAACGTCACGCCCACAC